GGGCCTGCGGGCTGAAACAGATCTCCTCCTCATTTCCCGACATACTCCGTCTCCAACACCCGACAACCACACGCTACGTATAGAGCCGCAGCTGATAACAGGCCACAGCGCAGAGCATAAACAAACAGCAGCTTTAAGTGTTTACGTGTGCTCCGCCGGGGATTTAATCTACACGAGAAAAAGGAATGTCAAACAATACCGTTTATCGAGAATTGGCCGAAGCCATTGATGTGTGTTGACGGATGTTGTTTACAGGTAAAGAAACCTGCAAGTTATGTGTGAAATGTTGAAATTGCACGACTATTGACTGATGCTATTTGCACGGACAACAACGCAGTATTCCGGCAATCTGCGGCTGCGTAGTTGGGGAAACACAAACCGCGGAGGTTAGCTTTGTTTTAGCTGTGTGTATATTCAGACAGGCCAATTTTAGTCTGGCTTATAGGAAGATGAGAGGGGAGGAAGAGTTTCACTTCCAGATGCAATAACTCAGTTTTGATTGCAGGCTACGTCGCTGCTCGTATCTTTGTGAGGCCGTGCTTAGGCGCGAGGGAACCCGTGAGCCAACAGCCATCATGCTAACATGTTCCCAATGACGCGTGGACGTTGGGCAGGTAGGATGTTTACCGCGTACAACCAAAACGGTTGCGAGTTAACCTGAGGCGGATTTAGTCTTGCAGGTAATCAGACATAAACCAAAGAACTGTTTCAATTCTAAGCTGATGATGATTACGGGTCATCAAAGGGAAATCTGTCCTGATCGGAACATGGATGTCTGTACAAGAACTCAAGACATTTCAGTCTGAACCAAAGCCATGGATTGACCGACAAACCTTTCCATTCTTAAAAATAATGACCTGTAGTCATTAATCATTAAACCCCACTAAGATACATACAATAGTTGGGCCCTCAAGACTGTCAACAATCAGCTAAAAGCACCTACATTTCCCTCGTCTCCGAGCTCTTCTCTCCCCCGGAGCTGAAGATGCATTATCAGGAATATCTGTTGGTTATTTGTTGTGGGAGAGGGTAAAAGGCTTCGGCATCAAATTCCACACTAAATCTTCAAGAAGCCGAGATCCAGATACGACTCAGGGGAGGGCGGGGTAGCAGCGGGGTCAGGCGCTTCACCTCAGCATGAGGCGCTGGAAGAATTTACTTCATACCTTTAACAAATGAAAAAGCTATCGTTGTAATAATTTACGATTAATGAATGATAAGGGAGGCTGTTAGTTCATCAGCTGTGTGTGTGGAGGTTTCAGGACTAATAGGAATTTTAAAAGGCTCCGCATCCAATCCCAAACATTTCCTTTTTTTCTTCTTCTTTAAGACTCAATTTCTCTCTGCTGTTGCTATTGAACAAATGAAAACAATGCAGATAATTGTCCCGTGCCCCCCCCCCCCCCCTCCCGGACATCCAATCAGTCGTACTCATGATACCAGCAAATTTGCCGGCATGACTTCTCGAATGTAAACATTATAAAAGACTGCAGCCACGCAGCCGGCCCGTCGTTTTCTCTCACGGGGGCCGACTCCTCTCTGTAAGAAGAGATCAACCTTGTCAATTGGTCTTTCGCTCTACACCATGGAGACTGTGTGAGCTATTTCCCTGCATCACATTCCTCTGCCATCCAACCTCTGTCCTGCCTGGACTTTCCCACAGAACCCTAAACCCTGTGAATGAGAGTAGGCCTTTGTTTCAGGCATTTTTCATCCTGATCCCAGCAACTTCCCCATAGTGGAATGCAACAGGAATGCCAGAGCCAGCTACCTGGTATTAGAGAGTCTTTGTGTGGAAACAGGAGAGGCTGAAGGAGAGAGCAGGTCAAAGAGGTTTGACAATGGATAGGCGGCCTCTCAAGGCGATCGGCCCACACCGCCGAGCGAGTGAGCGGCAGATCCAGGGTCCAAAACGTGCCGACCTGCAACAAGGAGAAAAAAACCCCGACATCGTTTCAGTTTTTCCCCCCCGGTCAGGATCTTCTCCTACTGTACAAATAATTAACCGGAGCGGCGGTGCAGCAACTGATTGGCATGCGTGCACAAGCACAGCTGAAATGTGTGTTGCTACGAGCTTATCACTGGCTCGAGAGCTGTAAGAGTGAGGCAGTGGTTTGCCTCAAGGTGCAATTCCATTCATTCTTGTTGCGTGAGAAACCAGGGGAAGAGGTTTTTAATTTGAGGGACGCCATGCGAGGACGAGGATTTACCGCGATGTCATCCGATAATCAGGTTTGATCCCAACAAGTCACCACAAGAGCTCATTTCAGCGACTTTCAGTTGTGGTTCCGCGGCAGATGTGCAGCGGTGGAAATGTCGTGGAGGTGCACAAACACGGCGGTGTACGTGTCCGTGCAGGATCCGCTCACACGGTGGGAGGCAGGCGGTTCCCCGGGCCCCGTCGCTGAAGCCATTTGCACCTGAAACCCGAGCAGCCGGGCCTCCGAGACCCACGGATGATCTTCCCTGCATCCCGAGTCCCATGATAAGCTGAGATAAGGCGCCAGCTGAAGGGTAACGACAGAACTATGGAGACACGGGTGGGGCGTCAGGTCATATATCCTTGCGTGTCATGACCGCAATTGCCGAGGGGGGAGCGTCCGCTCGCCTCCTGTGAGAACCAACATCTGCAACACGAAATCCACTTCATTAAAAAGACAAATAACCTGAAATATAACTGAGGTCAAATATGTACGTAAAGATGTAAGCGAGAATGTAAGCCAACTCTTTCCCTGCTCACCTGGCCTGGACTTTGGACACGGAAAGAGCGAAAGAGAATCATTTCCTACGTAAAACGTCGACGAAACCAAACGATGGCTGTGTGTGCTCAGCTGGTTTGCCAGCCCTGAGGGATGTGGAGATATGCGGTTAGATTAGCCCGTATAGGATAAGGGCAGTTAGAAGGGGGGTCTGTATGGACACTCTGAGGGGAAACACAGGCCTCCCACAGGGGAGCATTCCTGCAATAAGTCGGCCTAACATACATGACGAGCCACCGCTCCCCGTCTCTGTCTCGAGCAGAAAAGGGGAACCGTGTATAGAGACATTGCATGAATGATTTGACTTCCCTTTTTAAGGCTGTCAAAAGTATGATGAATGCGTTAAATTCTGAATGAAAGCGACAGCTTCACTTCCCTACAAAGGCAACATGCAGTCTCTCTCATTCTGCTGCAGGACACAGCACGGTGATGCCTTAAAAACTGCAAAACAGAGTTTATTTACAAGTGCAAGGTTGTATGCTGTGTGGAGATATATTTCTTTATTATTTGCTCTGGTTAAAATGGAAAACGTAGCTGAAAGAGGACATTTGCTGGTATTTAAGATTATCCACATGACATGAAGCGTGGTGATATTGGGCCAGAATAGTTCAAAGCTGGCTGTCACTTGAAGAATTCAAGCACAAGCAGCTATCTGAGCCATGGAAATCCTCCACACAGGAAAGGGAACAACTTTCGGGTTCTCAAATGGCCAAATTCCATCTTCTTCCTGATGCATAAGTGGTGCGCTCACCTAGTAACTGGTAAACACACATCAACAATGACGGGGAAAGATGAATGAATCTTCTCCGGAGAAAGCAGCTTTAGGAGCCGCCTCGCTGCTGAGCCTGAGGAATATCATTGACGGGACTGCGTTCACAACATATGTCTGCCTCGGGTTCATTGATCTATAGTGTCGATCGCCATCACTTGTGGCAAGATGATGCGCCAAAACAATGGAACACCAGGTGCAGTTGGCTGCACCGCTAACCCCTGAAAAGATAAAAGAGCTTAAAACTCAACTGCACGGATTATGATCCGCCATAAAGTGTCCATGCAGCTGCATCCAGGGTCACCGGCAAGCGATGGAGACACGTGCTGGGAAAGAAACGAAGACCTGCAGATGTTCAGTCAGACTTTACTCGCGTGGCCTCGGGGTGGGAGGGGGGGGCTTTTGCATTGTTCATGTCCGTGTTGTGGTCAAAGTCTGGGTGGTGCCGGACAGGTGCTTCTCTAACGTCTACCCGGCACGCGGTAATAAAACATGAATCATTGATCGGAAGCCTTCAAAGAGAACAATCAGTTCTGTGTTGTTTGTCCTTTAGTTTCAGTTGACCTACTTGTTCACAACCAGTGTGGATAGTGGAGATGCACCACAACATTTATGACTCAATGAATAATGTGGCAGTAGATACATTAAACTACCCCACCGTATGTAAAGTTGGCTTGACTAGATTAAGGGTTAAACTGCTGCCTACAGAGTAATAATGCTAATGCGACAGTTGCGGAGGAAGCATTTACATAATTGACTTAATTTAAAGTGCAAATACCACAGTGTAAAGATACTGTTATGAGACAAAGTCCTGAGTTCCAAAATACACTCAAGCGAAAGCGCAGAAGACGTCATTCAAATGGACTTTACAAATCAAAAGCAAAAGTCGACATGCACAACGGCCCCTTTCTGAATGTACACGTCAAATTACTGTTAAAGTGCTTCTGCTTCAGTCCGTCGCCCTGCAGCATTACGAAGAGTTGGAAGTTTCCTCCGCACATGAGACGAGAGCTCAGCGGCATTCTGACTCAGATCTAGACCTTCGCCCGGACTTTGGTGCCAATGTGGCAGGCAGATACCCCCCATGCAGAAAGCTGCGCTCGTGCCTCTAAGGCAGCGAGATGACTAAGCGGCCCCCGTGCAGACATGTTCCATTCTGTCAGAGCCCCGCAGCACATAGGCACCGTTTCACACGGTCCCCCGACTCTTGGCGAAGCGAATGGGAACTTTAGAGGTTCTGCTGACGGCTTATTCCAAGCAGCGCTGTGGTTTTAACTGCGACATTTAACCTTTTTTTTTTTTTTTTTTTTGGTTATATACGAGACGGGGGACAGATTTTGAACACAGGGGGGTTGGAGATGTACTGGTGTTTTCTGCGTTAATAAGAGTGATACAAACAAAGGGGCCTCATCCCAAATAATAATAATGATAAAAAAATAAAGGGCCTGCAGGTTGTGAGAAAAAGCAACACGTAAAATTAGGTTTTTATTTCTGGCAGCCCAAAATGACAAAAAAAAAAGAGTTCATTGCTCTTCGAGCATGACTCATATTTTACAGCAGTGTCAGGAAAATGAACACCGACGCCAATAGAAGGTATTTCCCCCAAAACACTGAATATCTAAGCTAAGCATTTTCTTTAGTGTGTTCAGTGTGTGTGGTCTGCGTGGAAAACAACTCCTGCGTGTCGAGTCTCTGTCGCCATCTGCTGCTGTTCGTCAGAAATAAATCTGCTGAAATACAATCTCAAAAACCACAACACAACACAATTGATTATTTAAATCCCATACACGGTTATACTCCTGTAACATTCTAATATTGCACCACAAACTCGGGTATGAATCATCTGCATTCATCCGCTCAGCCGGAAAGTTCCGGCTGTCCTCCATTGTCTTCCGGCCCTCTTCTGTACATTAACATGTATGCCGTGTGTCTGTAAGAATAACGGAAACGCGTGTTGAGTTGTACAAAAACTGTTACAAACACTTGCTGAGAAGCAAGACAACCTCCCAGACAAGACAAATGTCCTCTGCTCATCAGTGTAAAAGAGCAAAAACACAACAAGACCTTTAATCTTCAAACCAGGGGGAATCATTAGAGAACCGTGAGGCGGTCCTGTTAAACCAGAACCACCCATCATAAATAATACAGCTAACACAGTTTAGCATGAATCACCTTCTTGGTCCTCCGTACGTGCTCTGCACGTCTTCCCAGGAGACCTATGTGTTGGAAACAAGAGGCCTAATCAATCATACGTTTGAATAAACCTGTATTACAGCTGTACAAAAAGTCTTCTGAAACAAGTAGTGTTCAAAAATTTAACTAATAATTTTAGCAGCTCTTTGCACACAGGGTTCAAAGGCGCAACCTCCCCTCTAGACGTCGCCGGATCCCACAAAATAGACTTTAAAATGTATTAAAATATGAACTGTATTGATGCCACATGGGAGCTTTTCATGTGCAACTATACAAAGATACGTTTCTGTAAATAATGTTTAACAAATACAAGGCAGAGATCGATTGCAGGCGGCTTTTGTCAGATCGGACGGACCTGCTGTACGTGGCTGTCGTCGGCGTAGTACCAGGGCCGGTCCGCCCCGTGGCGGACGTAGGCGGTGTAGTGACCGAACATTGCATATCCGGAGTGCACTACCACTGCGTGCAACGTGTACTTGCAGTCATCCTGGAAGAACAAATAAAGACGTGGACGAGAGAAGATACACCACGCAAAGATGTTTTTTTTTAGAATATTTCTTTCTACGTACCTGAGCAAAGTCTGAGGAGAACGCGTCTTTGACGGTCTCGGAGAAGTCAAAGCTTTCTGGAAAGGTCACCGGGCAGTCAAGTTTTCGGGTGTAACCGCCGTGATTCCGAAACCTTTTCAGGTGCACGCACAAGATACGAGGCAGGGAGAGCAGTTTAACAGCCTGAGAAGAAATAATAAGACGGTTCACTTTGGTGCTTCATGCTTTCTGTGGAGCATTTAAATCAGGGCTCACCTGTTTGGACGGAGTCTTTTTCCCACATATTCCACAAAAGCAGCAATTGGCGCCCCTGAGCTCCTGATGCTCAAAGAAGGAAGTCATGCAGCCTTCCTAAAAAGGTTCAGGTTAAGAATAATTTCAAGCGTGACTTTAGGAATCTTAACGTGAAAAGTCAAATCAAACCGCACCAGGGAGTCGTGATCTTCCTTCACGTGCAGAGGCAGGCCGAGCATGTAGGTGTTCAGAGTCTGGACGGAGCTACACTCCAAACACTCCAGGTTCGTCTTCACGGAAATCCTGTACAGGTTCTGGATTTCAAGAGCCTGGCAGAGGAAACACAAACGCCGGCACGTTGCGGTGAAGGTGCTCACGCAGGTGGAAGGATGACATCCAGGATTTAAAGACCAACCAGAGGTTTGTCGTCCATCTGCTGCTGCATGAAGTTCAAGATGGAGAGGAACACCTCGTCGGCATCGTGCTGCGTGTTGACTGTGAAACATCGTCAGAGGTTTTGCGAGGTAAGTCACATCGGTTTCAAACATTCTGCAGGGTTGGTCTCCTCTTACGTCGCACACAGTTCCTGTCCAGCGAGAGGAGGAAGTCGCGATGAGGAGCAGGCCGAGGGCTGTCGCTCCTCATGGCGGCAAGAACCCTCTTCAGCTGAAGGGGGACGTTACGATCGTCCGCTCGCCCGCCAGCCGCTTCCCACCTTGTGCCGTTCAGAAACGCTTCATTTATTCATCATTTATTTTGAGCAGCCGAGGAAACGCAGCCTTGGATCCACTCGTTACTTCTGAAGGTAGCTTTTTATTCCATTATTATCTATTGTCTTTTTCACTGGTTCACCAAATTGTTGACATGTTAAGACTCTTATTCAATGGATTTTTTCTTTATATTATTTAGAAATATTGCCCTGTTAGTGATGTTCATAGTAATAATTTACATGTTCATCCATAAGACAGCGTGATGTAAACAATAACCAGACTCAATACATTATCTATAAACCCTTCAGCTAAATAGAAAATGTATGTTTTTTTTACATGCGTGGTTATTGGACTCATTTTAGTTTAATGAGTAGCACAGCTTGTCCCCTTAATGTCAGTGCAGTGAGTTCATTACTCACGTTTGTAGCCCAGGCTCAGCTGTGTACCTCAGTAATTAGAAGAATACAAAGATGTATTATTTAAGGCGATCCACTCAGGTCAAATAACACCCTTAAATCGTACAGTGTCTCTCGTGCTTTGTCGCTCAGTACTTAAGTGATCATTGTTAATATTAATATATATATTCTTACTTGTCCAGCAGGGCTCCGATTTCCCAGGTAGCAGAGAAAGTCTGGAGCAGAGTGTTCACACAGCAGGACAGATGGTGGTTGGGGAGGCCTCTCATTCCTGCGGCAGGACCTTCAGAAATGTTAGAAATGATCCTGTGTGTGACAACCTGAACCGATCCCGTTATCCACGGCCATCTCACATGACAAAACACGAATGTACAGCAAAGTCCTGATGCTGAAGTTGAAAAAGCTTCACATTTGGCATTCAAATAAAACAAACCGTTCCACAGACGGCAGAGTGAGAAAGACGCGTTTGGTCTGTTGGTTTGAGGCCAAATGTAGAGAAGATATTTATTTTACACAGATCCAAGGTCAGTATTTAGTTATCTATGTCACTGTTGCGCACGTGAGGGATTTATTGATAGTGAAGAGAAAAACAGTTGTGTGACATGCGGTAATAGTAATACATTTACTGAGGAAACCACACAATGTGTGTCAGTAACTGCAGGTTGTAAACACCTGTATTTATATTGGACATGTGCATTTGATATAAATGAAACATTCTGTGCTTTTCTGCTTAATTAGTTGATCATTGTCCGCATTATTTCACGTATTGTACACCAGAAAATCTACTAAAGACAACAGGCTGTCGTCCGTTTTAAATGGTATTTATCAGCACTTACCAGAGGAGCGCTCCCTCATAATAAATGAGGAAATCATCAGGTTCCTTCCAGACATCCGCGCGGTCAGTTGCGTTTACCCGAAGAGAAAAGGAGACAAACCCAAACACTTCTTCGGTCGCAGAGATGAAATGGTTTCACAGTCCAGTTTCTCATATCAGCTGCTTATTCGTCACTGTTTGAGATTCACTTTCGTTTTATCAGGTTTTGCGTCTAAATCGAAACCTAAAAGTGGGCATGCGCACATGCGCGCACTGCAGGGCGTCGACGTGATACCTGATGAAGGGTTTAACAATGTAACAACACCAGGATTTTTCTATTTTCTGTTAACAAAAATCGTAAAAAAAATAATAAAAACGAAGAAAACGAGGAAACTAAGTTCAAATAATTAATAGGATCAATTAGTTTTTGTTCATATATATTATTATTTTCCCCCTCGAACAGGTAAAACTCAGGTAACCCAGAAGTAAGAATATTTTAAAACGAAAGGTAACCGTGCCATGCTATGAATACAATAACCAGGTTTTTGATTAATCAATAATTTGGGTGAGTTTGATTCGGGTCACTCAGCGTGCAGATTGTAAATTTAATCCAAATCCAATGACCGATCATTTGGGGATTCAAGACTGGGTCAATGCCTTCAAATACCTCAGCTGGTTTCCATTGGTAGTATAGAGCCTGACTTGATGTTTGTATCTAATAGGAATTACTTAAAAGAAAAACATGATTATTTATATACATTTTTCCCTTTGAGATATTGACTGAGAGTAAGAACATTAAAAGTCGGAGCATTTTTCCCCCCTATTTCATAAGACATACAAGGAATTGGAATTGGCGGTTGGTGCATGACAGCAGATGATGCCCATGACAGCAGATGATGAGAGACACAACTAAAATTGAGACAGATAATTGACATCTAGTGTGAGACGAGGTCGCCATCTTCTGGAGGGAAAACGAAGCTCACCCAGCTTGACCTGAATTCAATCCTTTGCCCATAAGTGGTTATGTTCTCTCAGCTGGTCAAAAGGAGAGAACCATCAAAGTAGTCAACATCTACGCACAGCCACGTGGTCTGTGCACACAGTAGGCCTTTAAAAGATCCGCATCATGATGTACAAGTTGTACTGACTTTGTGACTTGTTGTAAAGGCCAGAGAAACAAATGCTTCTTAACATCTAAAAATAAACTAAGCCTTGAGATCCGTCACATGGTCCTGTAAGGCCATAAAGTCTCACAGACTGTCTTATCTTCTCTAACTGCCTTTGGCTAGGAATGCATCAATGTGAACGCAGATGGAATTGGTCACACTTCTTACATCACCGATGAGTCCGGTCGGCAGTGGGTGTGGAGGAATTTTAACAAGCAGAGCTGTAGCGGCTGATGAAGTGAAACTGACATCCGTACAGCGGGCAGTCAACTTGAAAAATAAGGGAGAGAAAAGGCCCGCGTGGCTCTCCCTTATGAGCTGAAATATTGTGTCTGTGCGCGTCAGAAAGCATTTCTTAAACGACGGAAATTCAAACCTCTTATTGTGAAGCAGCCTGCGGATTGGACGAGGTGAAAATGTGTGCTGTTATTGAAAGTGGCCCCCCTGCGGCCCGTGCAGCTGCCCCTACATCACACTGTCCCCTTCCCTCCCCCTGAAGGCCTCTGTCAAGCTCTACACAAGCTGCACACACAAACACACACACACACACACACACACACACACACACACACACAGTGTGCAACGCCGGAACGTGTCGAGTTTTCAAACTGCAGTAATTACTTGAAGTTTGAAAGAGAGCAGCCTTTGTTTTCTGGCTCCGACGGGGTGATGGCGTGAGAGGCGTGAGAGGGGAGGAGAAAAACACCCAGGACAAGTTGGGGGGAGAGAGGGGGCCATGTTGTTGAGGCCGGTTTTGTCTCCTCCCGCCCGTGGACTCTTGGGCATTCTTTAACCGCCTCTGGTCCAGAAGGGTTAACGGGAGGCACACAGACGACTCGCTGGTTGGAGGGGGAAGGCGTCAATGGGAGAAGTGGAAAAGGATTAAGACGAAAGAGTGTTTTTAGTTTCAAAGTTGGATGATGGACGGGACACGAAGGAGGACAGAGGACGGCGAGGAGGAGAAGACGGAGGACGAGGTGGTGCAGCTGCGGCGGGAGATCGGCCTGCTGCCCGCCGCCTGCTTCATCGTCGGCACGGTGGTGGGCAGCGGCATCTTCATCGCGCCCAAGGGGGTCCTGGTGAACAGCGGCAGCGTGGGGCTCTCCCTGCTGGTGTGGCTGCTGTGCGGGGTGCTCTCGCTCTGCGGTACGACGGCGGCGAAAGACGAAACCTCCCCGGGTGTTCGTTCCCATGACGAGCTTTACTTTCGTTAAATTAGTGTGTGTTTTGGTGCAGACAACACCAAATAATAATACTCTTTTTTTATAATCACTGATTTGATGGGATTTTTGGTTGGTCTAACTTTTTATTTGAGTAGCGTCATGTCAATTTATATTTGCTTCCCACTTGTTGGTGCATTTTCAAATGACTAAATGAATAATGTCGCAATTAACGCGGAGGGAAATGTCAGTAGTTTTGCAGGCATACTGTTTGAGTTATTGGAGCTATGGGTGGTGCTAGAGGAAACGCCTGAGGGTCATCCTGTGGGGGACATGAATGTGTTTGCTAATCGCCACGACAACCCATGTTCTCACCAGATTTTGTGGCAGCGAGCAATTAGCTGGTACGACCAACACATAATCAACCCAAACTGCACTATAGCACAGTTCAAATTCCGACATGCAAACAGATATTGTCTCCCTGTGCTCCATCAGGGGCCCTGTGCTACGCTGAACTGGGCACCACCTTCACAAAATCCGGGGGCCACTACACTTACCTACTGGAGACGCTGGGCCCACTGCCCGCCTTCTTACGCCTCTGGAGCGAGTGCTTATTCATCAGGTGGGTTTTGGATTAGTTTAGCCCCGTTTGTCTTGAACCGAGGGTTCAAACGCCGCGTGTCTTCCCCCGTCCAGGCCAGCGGTGACGTCCTACGTGTCCCTGGCCTTCGCCCGCTACGTGGTGGAGCCGTTCTACGCGCCCTGCGTGGCTCCGATGGTGCTCATCAAGCTGGTCAGCATCCTGGGATTGAGTGAGTGTTCACAGGACCCTGCGTGCCGGATGTAGATTCAGGAAACCCTCCCTCCCTTCACCTGTTGTTTGCTGCCTCTGCAGCATTTGTGGTGGCAATCAACTGCTGGAGCGTGACCATGGCCTCCCGCACTCAGATCACCTTGACCTTCGTGAAGATGTTTGCTCTGGTCCTCATCATCGTCCCTGGAGTCGTCGCGCTGGCCAAAGGTGGGCGGGCCGCCATTGTTTTATCGTGAGTGAGTGATGCAGGTGTTTTTTCCAGCTGTTAGGTCAGTTGATGATGTTTCTCTCCAGGAAAAACGGAGAGTTTCCAGAACGGCTTTGAGGTTGACTCGTTAACTTTGCACAGGCTTCCGCTGGCCTTCTACAATGGTCTGTATGCCTATGGCGGATGGTAAGCGGCCATTGGCAACATGTCTCCATGACAGTTGTATTTAAAAACGCCTGCGTGAACCGGCGTCTCCTCCCCCCCTTTAGGTTCTATCTGAACTACATCACAGAAGAGGTCATAAACCCAAATAGGTATTTCACATCGACCCTCCGCTCAAATCCATCCCCTAAGAGCCTTCCTGCTTTGAAAAACACCCGTCACGTCCCGGCAGGAACATCCCGCTGGCGATAATCTTCTCCATGGTGACGGTGACAGTGTGCTACGTGCTGGTTAACGTGGCCTACTTCACCGCGATGACCCCCGCTGAGCTGCTGCTGTCTGACGCCGTGGCCGTGGTCAGTGCTGTGATGGGGAGCATTTAGAGAGGAACCCCCCCCCCCGCCGCCGTGGGTCTGAACGCCGCTCTCTCTCTCTCTCTCTCTCCACCTCCCTCCGTCTCTGCAGACCTTCGCCAACCGCGCTCTGCAGGGAATGGCCTCCGTGATCCCCTTTCTGGTGGCCGTGTCCTGCCTCGGAGCGCTCAACGGCGGCATCTTCAGTTCCCCCAGGTGAGCGGCGCACACGCGCGTCGTGGTTGTCGCCCTCGTGCGCCTAAGCGTTCGCTCACGCTCCGTCTTACTGTTCGCGTTGCAGGATGCTGTTCGTGGGAGCCAGGGAGGGCCACTGGCCCCCGATCTTTTCCATGATTCACATCCGCAGACGCACACCTCTGCCGGCTGTGCTATTCCTGGTAAAAAAAAAAAAAAACTTTGGCGCATTAACCACGTTAAAACCGACTTGTTCAGTCTTTGGTGTGTAGAAAAACAACTGAGTAGTCAGACAGACGTTTGGAGCATTTTTTTTATTCACTTTTCATTTTTGCAACTAGAGGATTTGAACCCTCGTGGTCTTTAGGGGGAATTAGACATTTTTATTTTGCATTTTCAACACAACAGACCTTGACATTTAAATAAAGATAATACAATTAAAACAGTAAATCATCTAAACGCTGATATTAGTGTCAATAGCCAATCAGAGCAGCGTGAACGAGAAAGAATGATCCGTTTTTGAACGCTAAAGCATGTAAAAAAAGTTGAAAAAAAGACCACGAAAAAAAGTAAAATAAACATCTGAATCTGAAGCATGTCCCCTCAAAGATGAAAAGTGAGTTTTTTTAATCCAAAGCATTTAATTATGAAACTGTAATACAATTTTTGTGCGCATGTCTTATCTTGACCTTGAGAAAATGGTCAAAAAGTGTCCAATTTAGACCACAGGGAGCGTGGATATGTGCTTACGGCTGCGTTTTCTGTCTCCAGTACCCCCTGATGGTGCTGATGTCGACCACCGGAGAGATCTACGAGCTCATCAACTTCGTCTCCTTCTCCCGCTGGTTGTTCATCGCCATGGCGACCCTGGGACTGATCATCCATCGACGTCGCTTCCCCGACCACCTGCGACCTTTCCAGGTCAGTGTGTCAAACTGCATCGCCTCCTCTGTCCCCTCCGTCGTCTCCTCCTTCATTTGCCCTTTCTGACGACTCAAAAAAAGGTGCCGCTGGCCGTCGTGGGCACCTTCACCGCGGTCTGCTTCTTCATCGTGGGTCTGTCTCTGTACTCGGACCCCTGGAACACAGGGATCAGCTGTGCCCTCACGCTGACCGGCATCCCGGTCTACTACGTGACCGTGTACCGCTACTGCTTACCGCGTTGGTTGAGACGCATCTTTGGTAAGTCGCACCTCCCGCCATTTCATCCTAAAGGACGCGAAGATATGAAAATCTCTGTGATGTTCCCAGACTATTTCAGCAAGCAGCTGCAGATCCTTCTGGAAGTGAGTCAACAGGAAGTCAAGACGTTCTGAACATCTCGCTCTGCTGGATTCAACCTAACAAGTGCTAATTGGTTTTGTGGGTTTTAAATGTGTGATTAAAGCATCTGTTGTAGTGATTCAATAGATGTTCTTAAAACTAAAACAAAGCCTTTTTATACGCCTTAATACTTGATATTTGTGCATTGGACTCTAAGTCTAAGCTTACTTTAGACACTTTGGTAGTATTGCTCTTGAACTTCAAAATCACTGCTAAAGTCTTATTTGTACAGTTTTCTAAGACCAATAAACTCTTAAATCAAAAAGACAATCTAGAATTGTTTTCCAGCTTTATTTAATTTTAAATAAAAATAGACACCCTTCACAAACACAGTTTATTAGAATGTCTGATTCTCAGAAAGCACTTCACGAGGAGGAAGAACGGACCGGCTTTGCTTGAAAGCCATTCAGCGCCGCTGGTGAACAGATCAACACGATGCTTAAAGCTGTACATTATTTTGTGGCATTTAGAAAACGGGAACACCTCCAATTCCGCCCGCCAAAGACGCTGCAGCCCCCTAATTCCTATTTGTGCTTACAGAGAAACATACTTGGAGCTTTACTGAAAACCCATCAAATCTGCTGGATACGTTCTCAGTTTTTGCCACCAAAGTTACCTTCTATGATGGTGCTGCCATGAGGAGCACCTGCACGCCAAACGTCCTCTTCGACGCGGCGGAAGCAGTTCTACGAGTGACGCACAGACAACCCCGTTGCGGTTAGTGCTATTTGTACTTTGCCATTGTTTATTGCCAACAATCTCACACGCTGAATCCCAAGACGCCGCCTGAACCAAAAAGGCACGGAAGCACATCGATGGCAATATATTGTCTTTTCACCCACAAATGCAAAAGCTAAATTATATATTAAAATGTGCAAATCGACATAGACAGACACACACACACACACAGACACACAAATACATTTCTCCTTCAAGAGCGTACAGATATGACAGGTAGGATAAAGGATCAAAGGAAACAGAACAGTGAGTAGCCTTACGAATAGAAATAAGAGAAAAATACAAAAGAAGCAGTTGTGACAGCACAGGTGAAAGAGCCAGAGGTGAAGAACATCTGGCCCGAGGGACGGCAAGTAAGCAGCTTGCTAACATGACCCGAAAAAGGAAAGAACCAGAGTGTCCCCCGTCACAAATTCCCTCCTGTAGTGTTTCAGAAAACAGACGACGCGTTGATGATATTCAAGTCGCAATCGCGTTTTGTCCCCCGCGGCTACTTGAACTGAGGGATGAACTCGGACCAGCTGATGTTGGCCATGCCCAGGTCCTCGTCGTCCAGACCGGTGAAGCTGATGTCCACCAGTATCTTGCTCAGGCTGTCGTTCATCGTGTCCAGGATGAGGCCCTCTGTGATCGAGCGGTTAGCCGGCGTCGCGGCCGCCTGCAGCAGCTCTCGGGAGCAGCCGCCTCGCGGGCCTCCGACCGGCGAGTCCGGCGGTCCCGTCGCTCTGGCGGGGGCGGACGTGAGCAGCTCTCGGGGGGAGCTGAACAGCTGCCAGTCCTTAAAGGGAGTGCTGTTGAAGCTGAAGGTGGTGTAGTCGTGCAGCGGGGTGATCGCGGGGCCTCCGGGGGTGCGGATGGGGCTGAAGTCCAGGACGCTCTGGCTCCCTTTGCCCACGGGGGTCACTTTCCAGGGCTCGGGCAGCGCTTGAGAGGGGGGCTTGCTGGGCGTGGAGGAGGTCAGGTGGCTGCTGTTTTTTATGGGCGTCTTGAAGGAGAAGTCCCGATCGGGGCTGTGCTGCTTCTGCTGGGCCTCGTCGGGCTCCGCCTCGCGCACCTCCTGGAAGGTCGACGCGTCGGAGTCGACGCCGGAGTCGAAGAAAGTGTTGTCGGGGCAGAGGAGGACGGGCTCCTCGTGGAGCGAGTGAACCAGGCGCTGCTTGCGTCGCGAGCTGCCGCCTTGTCTCTTCAGAGGGGCCGTGGGAGTCTTGCGATGGATCGGGACGCATTCCGGCTCCTCCTTCACCGGCAGGTCTTTGTCCTTCTGGGGACGCACCGCCGCGGCCGGGACATCGCTTTGCGCCAGCTGTCGGCCGCACAACAGAAGCACTTCACAGTTCTACCAGTGTACAACGCAAACACACATTTCCCAACGGCAAATGTAGAGTCAGCTGGTTTTCAAACATCTGCAACGCGCGGCAAAAAGCCTTTACCTTAGGAGCTATGCGCACTCTCTTGACTCCTCGGGACGCGTTCTGCTTCTGCTGCCAGGAAGAGGGGGGAACCTGGGCCAACGGGGTCGGCAGGAAGACCGGGGAGGTGAGGGGGAGCTGGATGGGAACCAAGTAGGAGTCGGTTCGAGGGAGAAGAGGTTTCATCTTTCTCTCTGCGAAGGACAAAGGAACAACTTATTGCCCCGTTGCATTTTAAAATAAAAGAATATTCCAAAGTTAGTTCTAAAACGACTGCCTTTCGGGGGAATCTGGACAGTTTCAAGCTGATTTAAGTCTATAAATATCCTCCCGTCTTTGTTAACTCACCAGAGCTGGCCGGCATCTTTCTTGCGTCGGAAAGCATCCGCTTCTGTCGCTGTGAAAAAACAAACGACATCAAATCAGATTGTACTGTAGATGCGTTCCGCCTCAGTGGCCACAAGCGACAACCTGGGTTTGCGGAGTTTTAGGATTTTCCGAGACCGAACAGACAACAGTCAAAGTTAGACCTCTTACAACTGTCCCTGCACTATATGGAGGAAGCGTGGATACATTTCAGAGTGTAAGCATGTCCTGGCTGGACAGGCGCTTAAGGTCTTAAAGCGATTGGAGCCTCCCTGCTGCTCACATCATCTCCTCCTGCAAAAAAAAGAAGTCCCTAGATCTTCGACCTCCAGCTAAGCTGCGCTCATTGGTTCAGAGGAAAGGCGTCGGATTGCATGTCTCTCCCTGCTTTCTTCAGTCGGAGTGATGAAGACTGTTCCTAGGGGACTGAGAGAGGAAAGCCGTCTTACTTGGTAGGGAAATAAAAGTTGTGGCACTGGAACAGGAGCGGTCATCGGGTCACAGCCGGGCTGCAGAGGGAGATGTGCAATGAGAGGGAAGAAAACCCCAAAAATGATCTGAGACGCAATCCAATATTCAAAATGAGGAACAATAAAACAGGAACTTAAATTCAAATTCAGGGCTTGTTCCCCTGTTTTTGATGTGGATGAACGTTGAAGGGGCTCGGCGATGAAGTCAGTTTGGCTCACCTTGTACACCTGATCAAGAGTGAGGCATCGGTTGGCCTCGGGTCGGATAGTCCAGTAAGAAACTTTACCATCTGGTGACGTCTCACGAATGAACATGTCGTGTAGAGAGAGATTATGGCGGATCGAATTCTGCAATCACAAAAGAAAGAAAAGAATTCAGAGCATCAATAAAACAGCAATTTACTAGATGACCTTTGTTGCTTGTTTCAGCAAGTGTCAGTTGCAAAGCACCTTCCATCCTGGTTTGGCCCCCTCTCTGAAGTAAGGAAAGTGTTCCTCGATCCACATGTAAATCTCCTTCAGTGTCATCCTCCTGCTCTTCTGACTGTTGATGGCGAACTGGATCATGGCCATGTAGGAGTACGGGGGCCGCTGAACAGCCTCTGCGTCGATTTGTGCGCTTTCTGCCTGTAAAACAAAGGAGGGATAATACATTATGTGTCTACGCTTCTTTTTTGAAATTGTAGCCGGGTAATCAAGAATTTTTCAAATGAGTTGTGACAAAATAATGAAACCATCACTCAACTAACAACCGCATTTACACTGACCTCATTACTCGTGCCAACGACAATGTGGCACAGCTGTCTAGTGAGAGGAGATCAGTGTCTCCTGTGTGTTTTTTACATCAACAGTAAAATTCACACTAAGGTGACAAAGAGGAGCAGCCGACCTGAACGTTTGCGCTTTGGTTCTCCTTGTAGGCCATCTGCTTCACGGCGTCGTGTTCGAAGGTGTTCATTTTGCCCAGCCACTGAATGTTGGTGAGGCTGTCATTTAACGGGCCACAGTCCAGCTCCTTATTCACTGATAGAGAAAAGTGCCATTATTGTTTCAACAAAAGGACTAAAGAAAACTAACCGAGTCAGAGCTATAAAAAAAAACAGCAAATAAAAACACTTGAAATATCAACATATCAACTCCATACATGCTCTAATTCCAGTGAGAGACAGGGAGCTGGGCAAGGATTCTTCTTTCACCCGTTCGCCAACGGCAGAGTCATCGTGGCCTCCAGCAGCCGGCTGACGCGCGGATCCGTTGTCACTCCCGCCCAAGAGGATGAACTTGTATGGTCCCTCGACACCGCACTCTTTGCCGTTGGCAGTGAGGGCCCCGATGATACTTTGAAGGTCAGCCGTTTTGGGGATGACCACCACCTGCGTATCCGACATGGAGGGGTGATCCATAATGCGGATGCCTTCGGGGAAGCCCTGAGCGGCAGTCGATTTCGAAGGTTCGGAGGCTTTGCTCTGCGGCTGAGCCGCCGGCGGCGGATCATGTTGCTGAAAGGGCAACTTTCTTCTTCTGAGGATCAGGGGTCTCCTCGGGCTCTGTCTCATGGTCATCAATTAATTGAAAACGCTCCTTGGTGTTCACTGGTATTCTGCACACACACACAAAAAAAGACAAATGCAAACATTTGAGTACATACAGAATGCATCATAGCGCCACACGGATCCGACTATTCCTACCAGTGATCAACGTCTCAGAAGGTATGAACACAAAGTCAAGCTACCAGCTAGCAGAATAAACCGTTAACGTCAAGAGAAACCAGCCTGGATTCTAACCGTTTTCTCCTTGCGTTGGTGGGTCGTGATTAACACGATGAAATCCAATCAGCCAATGTGACAGAACTCTACCAGCCCGCGCGGTACGTCAACAATGGACCTCGCAAATGAAAGAACCACGTCGTCCCCCGCGGACCTGAGTTAATTGAGCCGAGCGATCGTTAAAAGTTTGGTTGTTTTTCCGTAGGATCAGTTGGTTTGTCTCCTGGCAACTCGTGCCTTCTAGAACCGCAGTCGTTGGATGTCCGCAGGTGACGACGTGTTTCAACGTTCACCGCTTCGTAGGGATCCAAGCAAACGATAAATACTCACACACAAAGTGTTTAATCTAAAAACATGTTACAAGTTATCACCGCTTTCTTTCATCAGCTAGTGTTAGATAGCTAACGTTATATCGGGCAACAACAATGGGGTCATATTTCATGTAAATCAATGCTGCATTGTTACGGTTCGCGGAGCCAAATACATCATTATACTTATATCAATCAATATTTCCAGTGATTTAAATACAGGTGTACATTCGGATAAAACGCATTGTCTTGAATACAATGCGTTACATAAATAATTGTTCAAACAGAGTTCAATGTGACGTGCCATTTGAATGTGCCATTTGACTGACATGAACGTCATACCCAAGGGGCCTAAATGAGGATTAAGGATGAAAAATCTGGTTTGCATTAAGACCTGAAGAACATGGTGATCGGCTATCGCACACGCCGATCTCGGCTAAGACACAACTTTCCCCCGGATAAGGTTGGCATCAGCCATGTTTGGAAAGCTAAGCTAAGTTAGCTATGTGGCTAAACATCCCGCAGGTCAACAGCTAAATGCTAGCTTGTTACGCCATTGTAACACATAGCAAAGCTAGACAAAGCCATACCTTCATGTTATTGTGATGTTTCGGGCAATTCCACTCGGCTGGACTCCTGCTAGTAGTTTAAACACTCGCTTCATTGTGTATATTAAATCATAAGACCCAAGATATCTATTATATTCTTTCATTTCCTATTATTTACATGCCGTCTGTTCGCCTCAGCGATGTTTTTGAATTTTGGCGCTGTGGGTGCAGCCCCCGTCACCTTGATCACGTGGTATAAAATTGCACCAATAGTACCGAGACAAGACTTCGCTGGGACCAATCAGAGACGTCGATGGTGGAAACCGGGAAATGATAAGTAACAAGAAGACGGAAAACAAAAGAAGTTCATATTAAACAACTATAGTGTAATAACCAACGTTGTATACACGTATCTTTCGTTGCAGTACTGGTTATGTCTCGCTTGAAGAATCGCATTTGGGTGAGTACAATGGCGGCTTAGCAGTTTTACGAGTGAAAACGTTTAGATTTAACTTTAACGTCAAAGTGGCTGTTAACAATTGACCCCGTTTACAGTACTCTTGATCTGGCGGCAGCGAAACGTCTATAAAGTGGTGTTTTTATTCACCCCAGGTTCTCCGGGATGATCTATATTAATGCCCCGTAAAGCCTTAAAGAAAGACAAGCCTCCCCTGTTGTTCGTGGAGCAGCCTGTGCGTGGAGCCAGACTCCAAAATGTGCCTGAAGTCCGAGCAGCACTCAACCCCAAAGAGTTTTTCCCAGAGACACAGGCCGAGAACAGCTCAACTCTAACCTCTTGGGTGAGTTGTTTATTCTCTTTTTTATCCTTTTGCAATTATTTGAGCAATAATTATTTCACTATTATTATTATTATTTCACTTATGTTTTTTTTATTCAGATGTTCCATTACTGTACTCTTTCAGGTAAGACCGCAATTTGACAGCTCCATTGCAGCTGCACTGCCAGCGAGGCGAGGGAGGAGAAAATTCCTCTCTGCCACAAGCGTCCTTGACGCTTGCAGCTCGCTGTCCTCGAAGAAGAGCGTGTGCAAATTCCCCTCGTTGTCGTTTCACACCAGGTCAAGAGACCAATCTCATCAACCAAAGAGCGCACGCACAAAGAAACCTACAGAGTCCACCGTTGTGTCTGATCAACCGCGGGGATCGCGCCAAACCAAGAGGACGGTTTCTGGTGCGCAACACTCTGACACGCCGAAGAAACCGCCCTCCTCAATCAAAATAAGCAATGGAGACTGTGCTGCATCCTGTAGCAGACGTGTGGACCGGCCTGAAACTCCATCTATTCAAGTGACGGAGAAATGCGGAGCATCGGCAGACGGTGTGTCAACGCCTGCCTCAAATGAGTCCAGAGACACGGAGGTCAGCGGTGTCAGTCCACCGCCTGATGTGGACACTCCAAAAGTAATCAAAGGAGGGAGTAGCTGTGACCCTTTGCCCTCTCTACGATTGCTAGAAGCTCAAACATCTACGCCACCATGTAACCTGCAGCCTGACATTTTAGTGGCGGACACACCAGAGCGGGATTATGGGGTGAAGGTGACATGGAGGAGGAGGAGGGGTTTGATGATGTTGTTAAGAGAGAGGGGCTATCTCTCTGATTCAGATGCCTTAATTAAAAGGTGATGAGATTGTGTAAGACGATTACGGGGGAGTCAACTGAGAAAGTGACATATTATTCAACAAACTACTTCAATGACAAGAATCCTTTCTATGAACAATTTTTTTTATTGCACTGAATGGAACTGCTCTATTTTAAAGTCATGATTACATTTCAGTTCATTGACTATTTACTTTAAATGCCATTATAATAAGGACATTATGAACTTACCCATCCATACTTCACAATCCATACTTCACAATCCAAAGTTTTCATCATTGTAATAATCAAATCACATAATGGACAAATTAAAATGGCATTAATTACAATATTATTAAAATATTAGATATTTCCATGAGTGGGAAATAATAAATAATTTTCAATTGTATTGTATTTTTGGAAATAGGAGGCAATCCACTTTGTTTATATCCTGTATAATAGTGACTTAGCAAACAGCCTTTTGTTTGTTATTCTCACGTTCTTCGATTTTTAATGGTAGAAGTGTGGGGAAAAGGTCATCTTTCTGTGGATATATCGAGCAGACACTATTAATTTGGGAAATCTTCAGTCAGTGGAGTAATAAAATAACAGATGAGGCTGCTAAATGAACGTCCGATCACTGCTTTTGGTGATTTTGAGAAATACTGTGTAACTTAAAACCCATTTTTTCTCTTTGGAATGTTTCTTGTAAAGTGCATGCAATAAATATATGTGTTCAAAGGGCAAACTAAATATTTGGTTTATTGAGACTACAATGAGTAATAGGATGATTGGAAAACTAGGAAGAACACATTTCTGACAAATCTGACTTCAAGCTGCCAAAGGCAATGATAGTGCACTTCTGCACGGCCATCACTGAGTCTATCCTCTGCTCCTCCATCATCATCTCGTATGCTGCAGACAAGGGCAGGCTGCAGCGTTTCATTTGCTCTGCTGACAGGGTAATTGGCAGCAATCTGCCATCACTAGAAGACTTGTTTGCTTCAAAGATCCTGAAGCTAGCAAGGAGGATTGTCCCCTCTCGTCCTGGACATAAACTGTTTTAGCCCTTTCCCTCTGGCAGGAGGCTCTGGAAGCAGTTTTGCAAATCCTATTCATTTAATATCTGGTCCCTTTATTTGATATTTTTGTCTTCTGCACTTGTATGTCTATTTATATTTATTTTTTGCACCATCCCGACCAGAATAAATCCTTTTCCGTGTAACATTCTTGGCAATAAATGCTTCTGAAATTTTGCTGTATTCATGGAGTTTCTTGAGCTTTTCATATTAACTGTTCACTGTGGCAAAAGCTTGACAAAAAACATTTTAAATTGTATTTTACGTGTAAAAAAGGGTTCATTTCCATCCCTGTGTGGCTCCTTTGAATTGAACCGATAACATATCAAGGTAAAAGGGGAAAAAACATCCACAGGCCTATGCGGACAACTCTCCGCCCCCCCCTTCAGAGTGTCCACCAATCACCATCTAGGTATGAACCGGCCGACCAATAGGAACGCCCGTTCTTCGTGTGCTCGGTAACTAAGGACCGAGTAACAAGAGTTCTCCTCTACCGCGGCCGTAGAACAGTGTCCGGCTGCAAGAGGATCTCCCTTAGCAACCGTGGATAAACATGAGTTTCTACAGCATAAGGTAAAATAACAGATACAATGCTTGGTGCGTTGTGCCTCGTAGCCCTTCTGTTCTGTTTGTCCATCTTTGGCACGAGAAAAAAAAGCTAACCGGTGTCTTTGCCGGTTTTTTTTTACCCGTAAAAAACTTCCCCGTCGCCCGCAACTTTTTCTAAAAGGCACCGTTGCAGGCAGCGGAGGCTGGACCGAGGCAGCTAACATTAGCTCCCAACGGCTACGAGCTAGCTTTAACGTCTCACAGGCGGCGGATAAACACAGCTGACATATTTCTCCTCAATTTGACTAATTTAACGTCGAGCTAAAGCGAGCGAGCTAACGGTCGAAGCGTTTACGGCCCAACACCGACATGTCTGCCCGTCGGTACGAGTCGACCGCATTTGGAATAATGTTACAGTAGACTAACGTAAACTTGGACGTGTGTAAAGCATCCTCCTCGGTCTAATTACTTTCAAAATGCCGAGCATCTCGGGGGAAGGGGGGTACCTTGAATTAGCTTTAATTCCCTTGAAGCGAGAGGCATAGGGAAAACAAAAGTTTGCCTGTCATGTTAGTGCATGCCTTTTGTGTAGCCCGTCTTTTCTGTGTCAAAGAGTTCCTGTTATGTAACGTTGGTCATCTAAAGTTATTGCCCTAAACCTGGGTTCTATTCTACAGGACAAAAGCTTGATGGCCATTGTGAGACTCGAACACATATTTCACCTGTGATGCACAGCAGTGCTGCCTTCGCTTTCCCTCTGATGTCCACTCTGCTGCATGCAAACAGGTGTTGGAAGAAATGATTATGTTTGTGTGTGTGTGTGTATGTGTGAGAGAGGGGGAGTGAGTGAGTGCATGATGATAGAAAGGCAATTTCAAGCACCGGAGCAGAGGTCTGCTTTTTATTTTTCTCTGTGAGATAAACATCAAAGTACCTCCCACCCTTTCCTGTTACATCCACAGTCTGGTCATTTGATTTCTTTTCGATTAGTCAATCCGAGTTGCCATTTGAGGAAATGCAGTATATCATTTAATTGCAGTTATTGCATGTTGAAAAGTGTCTGGATTGCCTATTACACTGCAAACAAGTTCAGTATGTGGCTCGGTGATATATCTTTGTTAAACTGCAATCATTCATTACCAAAGTGGTGCCGATCAGTGTCAGTGGATTAATGTGTGAGGAAATGAATAGCTAGCACCCTGTTTGTGTCTTTCACCATAGATGTCTATAGCAAACACCTGGATTTACAAAGCCAACAACCCTCGGCTCAGTATAGACATTTGAGACACAGCAACGGAGTCTCTCCTCATGCGCACACACGCTGGGATGCACTCTGCTCACGGGCTCAGCGAACCTAGACACTGTGTGTTTTAAAGTTCACAGATGGCCCACTCGGCATTTGTAATGATCAGCCTTCGTAGACTGTTGAATAAGTGGCCTTTTCTCTGGTTCCTGCTTGCAAAATGTATTGATTACCCTTATTGGTTAGTGTTACTCCTAGTTGGCGTGTGTCAGTCGGGGGCAGAGCTAAAGAATAGCATCGCAAGTGTAACCGATTAAGTTGCCGATAAAGTTATCTGACCTCTTGTTGCGTTATTGTTGCCAGGGTTTGGCGGTGGAAATGGTACACAGATCCAAAATCTGTATCCCGATGGCCACTGAAGACCTGCTGTGTCAGAGCCGTTGGCTAAACCGTAATTACAGGAAGCAATTATCCAGATTATTGTCACCGGCTGAAGCTCAGTCTGCCATGCTTCTATTCCACACTGTAGATCTACATAGTAAATTTGTAAATCTAACTGCCATTTTTCGTTGTCCACTGTCCCACTGTCCAGTGTTATGCACCAACCACCATGTCAGGCTCCTTGTATGTCTAACATATTTTGGCGATCATAGGTCCATATTTTTTTTGGCACTAGTGGGTTGTTTCCCTCGCACTGAATCTGGGTGGAATTGTTGCGTCACAAAGCGTTTATTGTCACTGTCAAGAATGTGCTTTTAGAGTGGGTGTAAAGTCTTGACAGACAGCAGACTGCAACCCTCAAAGATCTCCATTTTTAATAGACTCACTTTGCCCTGGTTCACTGCTGCAGCACGGCACTGTTCCTGACGAGTCAGTGTTTCTGCACGATGTTACTTCAACCATGAGACGATTGTACTTGTACGCTGAATGATATTTTATTCTGTCCCAAACCGAGCGGAGCATCAGTGGAGGAGAGCGTTTCCCTTGGATTCCCTTCGGGAAATTGTATCATTATCAACTCTTGCAGCTTTTTTCCACCGTTTGTTTTGAGCTCAATAATTACTCCCCGTGGTGACTAAATCCCCCCGCTTATCAACGCTTGACTTTAACGCCATTTCGCCGCTGTCTCTCAGGACAAACATACACAAACACAGTCTTCATTTTCGCCGCGCGTTCTTCCTCCCGCTCTTGCAAATAGGCTCAGAAAAAAAAGATTGGGGGGCTCTGGTTTCCTAGCAACTGCATTAAAGTCCCCACACCGTGTCTGTTGATCCATAGGTTTCTCTCTAAGACGTAAGCTTCTTCAAACACCATATGCTGGTATCAATATGCAGAACACCGGCTTAACCGTCGGCTGATGGTCGAACACGGGGTGATACAGTGATGTTGACCGTTATTACGTTTGAGAAGAAATTTAATTGCCACTATTGCACATAAGTGAGATGCCAGACAGATGTATCAGCGGCGCCTCACGAGTCCACGGATGTGAGCTGTGACTGGGGAGTCTCTGAGAAAGTTACTGGCAACTAGTCGGGCAATTCAGGCGACGGCAAGCAGTCAAAGTGAAATATGTCCAGCCACTTGGAAGGGGAGGTGGTGGATAACAGCCAGCCATGACATAAGCAATCATGTCCCTTTTGCTGATATCCATGAAAAAGTCCGACTCTGTGACACTGGTATTCAGGCCTGTCACTTTTCTGTTGCTCTCGGTGTGAAGTCATGGCAACGGCTCAAAGCTTCCCGACCTCGGCGCTGCTGGCTGTCACTCCCCTGGGTGGGACACAGCTACTCTTTGTCAGTGATCTCGGTGCCTTACTCACCGTAAGGCAGGACCGCACGCACAGTGACTCCGAGCTTCAGGGTTGAGAGAGGACCCCCCCCCCCCCCCCCCCACACACCTCCCGGTGAGCATCCATGGACGCTTTAAAGAACGGAGAATCTCAGCCCGTCTACAGCCCGCTGGTCGTACAGGTAGCTGCTCGCAGACACACACACAAACTGGTGTCTTTGTACATGGAGGCGGTTGTTTTCGAAAAGCCTTGAGATAGTTCCCCCCCCCCTGTGTGTGTTCTCCAAGACTTATGGTTTATTTGTTCCAGCAGGACAACTGGAACACACACACACACACATGGACCAACACATCTTTCCTTCAGTCCTCCAGGTTGTATTGACTTTGCGGGATTGAGAATCGCAGAGTGGCCTGTGCCAGGACGAGAGATCAGCGCCACTGCGCTGTTCTTTCCAGACGCCGCTCTGAGCGGCCGTCCTGCAGACGAAGACGTGCCTCTTGCTCATGTTTCTGCCACCACATCGTTACTTATTCAGGCCGCGGCTTTGCCGTAACTAGAGTTGGTGATTTTAGGGTCCGAGGGGATTTTATTTCTCCTTTTTTTTTTATCGGCTTCTTGATTGAAACGCTCATGTGACTTGAGGATGTGCTCAGAATCGCTGATGACTGTTCAGTGTCCTTTAAGCATTGGGGGCAGTACGTCCTTTTTATCCAGAGTTCATGGTTCAGCTACACTGTGTTTAGGGAGAAGGTTGATCTTGGATTATTGATTATACCTGCGTTTAAGTGGTAACCTATTTATTTAAGTGCCCGTGAGGTCATTATATATTGGCAAAGGAGGTAACACAATGTTATTTGAGCCTTTTGCCCATTACTGATATCTGCAGTAGTACAAACTGTGGCCAAAGCCCAGAAAAATATTGTGGTAGAGTCTTTTTTCTCCATTTTATACACACAAAAAATGAACCATGTACACAGATTGCTGAACTCCAAGCACAATTAAAAAATAAAAATCCAATTGTAATTGTTAAAGAACTCAAAACATATATAGCAAGATAGCCTGGTTGTGAAAAACTCAGTTTGTGCTTTCCAAAGAGTCAGTTTGTGCCCAGCGGCCGGATGAGCTCCACTGTTCAATGCTTCTTCAGTCGGAAACAAACGATTCTCCAAGTGTGAGACGGACCCCTGACTGCACCGCTGCTATTTGCACATATTTAACGGAGTTAACATGCAAATCAGCCACAATGCAAAAATGGTGAAACTCCCAGACAAATGATTGGTATCTTCTGGTAACAGTGATGGTGGTGGCAGTGATTGTACTGCATCGTCATGCCGTCTTGTTTTACAGTCCCGACGGTGTCTGTCCAGAAGCACGGACGTTCCGCCTCTTCGCCTCGTCCGTCAGGACCTTCGGCCCTTCGTGTTCTCTCACCTCTCTGTCACTGTTCCACCTGCCGGGTTCTTGGTGCTAAATGCCACATTTATACAAGTTGTGGACGTGGTTCCGTTTCAGATGATCTTCACACAAGTGAGCTGTGTCGAAATCGGTGAATTAAGCATTTTAATCTCATCCGACCGCCTTTTACTCCGTGTCGTCTCTGAGATGGAAGCTGAATTGCCCGTGGCAGGCATTACGTTATGCTCATTCGACTATCAAATTCCTTTTTGAAGTGGCAAAGGCTTTTAATTAAAAGGAACAACAGCCAAAATGGCCCGTGCTCAGATAATATCATCTTGGTTGATGCCATGCCATTTTTTTTTTTATAGTTTTGACATTGTCAACTTGTCCTCCTTTTGCACCCTGAATCCACAGCGGTGTGTTAGACAGTTATTACCCCATAATCATTTAAGATCCCATTTTTAATAAGTGAATCAGATTTCACATTTGCCCCACAAATACCTCTGACCAAATGTTGTTGGAATATATATTTATATTGTAACCCCCCCCCCCCACAAACGTGTGTCGGTCTGTAAATCCTTACAGCGCAAAGAGCCCAGGAAGTGGCTGCGGGCTTTTAATCAATGCTGCTGGAGGTCTCCATGGCGACCAGCGCCCGACAGGCAAGGAAGGGACGACGGGCGCTCGTCCTTCTCTTGTCACCCAAGCTTTGACAAACTAATGAAACATTGATCACTCACGGCTGTGATTAGGCACTTTGGATGTGTGTGTGTGTGTGTGTGTGAGAGCATGTCTTCCAAGAACGTTTTATGTAGAGGACACTTGGTGAAGCGCCAACAGATTGAAGTATTTATGACAATAGTGTGTCTGATGTTGACCTAATGTTTGCTGCACGTGGTCTTCAGCTGTCCGTCTCCGTCTTAATGATCGGTTCGCTTGTATTCCTCACATCGTCCCCCGTCCTCCTGAAGCATAAACCCCTGTTGATCTTGTTCCCCCTCCTTATTTCTTTCTCTTCTTTTGCCCCACGTGTCCTGTCCTGCTGCCTCGGTGTCCCCGAAGACCCTCGAGCTCTGCCAGCTTCTCCAACTCACCAGCAAGGTAGACCGCGACACACTCGCACAAACGCACCCTTTTCTGTTCACAATCTGTGTCGTGAAGTGAACCTCCACGTTAGCAGGCGTCCAATTGCGTCCTTAGAATGGACAAAGAAGAGAAAACCTCAGGTGATGGAGGATGTGTCTGCAGCCATTGTTGAGACTGTACTTTGAATCAGCTTTATTAGTCACACAACCCGACGGGATGTATGACCAACATTCTGTGGTTGTCCTCTGGTCGCAGTCTCCTAATCCACAGACCCAGAGTGCGTCCCGCTGTGTCTCACACAACCTGCACACACATCTCCCCTCATCATCCCAAGAGGCAGTCCGTCATGTGTAATTCGAAACCACCGCCACCGTCCTCCGCCCTCTATTCCCCGTTCCATGTAACACGCACCTGTTCTCGGATGACGTAATGTCCTCGACACAGGCGAGGGATTTACAAGCGACCCGACACGACTGGTGCGCCATGACCCGTCCTGACGGAGAACCGACGGCTCGGAGCTGTTGGGCAATGGAAAGCAAGCGGCTATTCGGTGACGTCCAGCGACCGTCCTCCTGTGCGGAGCAGTGACATCAGCCAGAATTGGGCCATAGGTCATCACCCACACAACCAGAGCTGTGGAAAGTGAAATATAGATGGGGGGGGGGGTCATATATCGGATGGGCTTAACTGATGGAGAGATAGATGAGCAGGCTGATTTGAGGACTTTTCATCCTATACCCTTAATCCTTCCGTCTAAAAATAAATGTAATAGCTTCAGCCCAGCAGAACATGAGATGTTTTTACATTTGCCCGGCAGGACCGGAGGAAGGGACCCACCTGCTGATTACATCAGCCCGTGTGAGTGACTTGTGTTAGTCACAGAGGCTCGGATACTGTAGGTCTCTGACGCCGAGAGAACAGCCTCCTGCTGTTGCCCTTCTCTCCTCCTCGTGGTAGCTAAGCAACACCGGCCCGGTCCTTTCCGATAGGTGTCCAGAGTAAATTCCCAGAGGACAAAGACTTCAAGGCATCTCAGCTTCTCTTCAAACGTTTCCTTGCTTTTCTTTTTACCTTTCTGTCACTTTCACAGAATAAGTCACACCGTGTTTCATCAACAAGTTATAAAGGTCACTTTTTCAACTGCTAATTTTTTTGAATGAATTTACACTTTTCTAATAAAATTTCCCCACTACTGAACCGGAACCCTGTAACTGCTTTCTGGTTTATTTCATTTGAGACAAGATACAAATCCTTCATGGCCTTGTGTACAACAGCAGTGGTGACCTCCACTGGTTGATATGGAAAATTCAAGTAAAGATCGTTTTAGAGATCAGTCTATCTAACTCTTGATAATAAAGGTTTGTTATCTTTCTCTGCAGTGGCATCGAAGATGACAGCTCGAGTCTTATGCAACAGAAGCTGGAGAAACAGGTAGGAAGACGAACTTCATGCACAAGACTGATATCGGGACAACACTAGATGTGGGGGGGCCCCGGTGCCCCCCCCCCCCTCCCATCTATTCAGTTCAATTCTATGCTTAAAGCTCCACAAATTATGCAGTGGATTTTAATTCCCGTTTAAATGATCACCACTTTGTTGTTAGATTAAAGAGGATTGCACTTTAATCGTAATTGATGTTCATTTTGTTGGGCCGCTGGTGCATGAGCGATCGTTATTATCAATGCAAGGAGAGCAAGATTAGTCCGAGTCACTTTCCCGTAGGGAGACATACAGCCGGTGGGTTTTGGGACTTCATGAAATGGGATCGGTTCCAAGCTGCAGCTTCCATCCATCTCACACATAGCTGCTGTTTTTGACAGCAATCCTGTTATATTTGAAAGCACCTGCAAAGGTCGAGCATGAAACCAGGAGAATTAAAAGGGCTCCGATGACCCTGTTACCTGCCACTCTGGTGTCACACCAGGGGGGCGGGGTGGGTGATGGGGGGGCCGTTGCTGTGGGCAGAAGCAGCTTCAACATCATCGTGCAATGTAGTGATTAACCGCCGGATCAGAAAAGCTCCGGTTTTTCACCTGTCGAACCACTTGAGATGCGCCATTTACCTGACACACCCCTCCTTCTATCACATATTTGCCCCCCCCCGATCCTCTGGAAGACGCTTTATCCCCAACCTCGCCAACGAGCCGCGGTGTGGAGCTTTGATTCCCGCTGGAAGCCGTTCTCCTCTGTCTCACACATTAGGCAGAAAGGAGCGGAGGGGGGGCAGGTTGGGGAGTTCAAAGAGAGGGGGGATTTAGTGAGGGGCGCCTGGCTGTGTGTGTGTGTGTGTGTGTGTGTGTGTGTGTGTGTGTGTGTGTGTGTGTGTGTGTGTGTGTGTTTATCCCACGGCCCCACCGTGGCTCAGTTATGCTGCACACTTTTAGTTGAGTTCAAACCGCCTCCCTTTTTACTCGACTCCCCATGAGGACAAACACACAGATGTGGAGGATGCGAAATGTACAAATATTCAATTATAAATATGACATAAAAGTTTAATCTGTATTTCCTTTTTCTGCGTTCTCACCCTGTTTGAATAGAAAAATGAAAGAAAATAATAGCAGGATTACGGTGGCTGTGGCCCTGTCTCCCTTTTGAGCGCACATCACAGTCTCCCCCCTCCCCCCCTCTCCCCCGCCTCCTTTTCTCCTGCCGGAGCACTAATGCAAATGATTCAGTTAAAAACGGTGACCGTGCGCACACAGACACGCACGCACCGGCGCTCAGTGTTTGGCTGAGAGCCCGACCTTCTTTTTTTGTTTTTTTTTCGGTCAGAGGACCACATTGTGCAGAGGAGGCTGTTGGTTCAGTGAGGGAGGAGGGAGGAGAGAGGAGGGAGGAGGGACAGGGAGACGGAGTCATGCCCAGCAGGCGCGCCGCTCTTTGGGGGAGAACGTGCTTTCCTCTGACCTCAACACAAGTGGGATTTGCAATGTTTGTTCTATAAAGGAAGCGGTTAAACTTTGGGTCCCACTCGTTCAGGATGTCAATGGAGAGGGTTTGTGATTTCTGATTCATATGTTTGTGCGGCTGTTTGCCCGGTTTTCTCGTCTGGCTTTTTCTCAAACTTTCTGCCGTAATGTGTAAAACTCTGACCGACCAAATTCTGCTTTTGCCATCAGATTCCGCGAAAAGCCACATATCAAAATAGGCTACACGTCTCCTCAAATGCGATTTATAGTTTAGTCTACTTTGTCTCATGTTTGGGCTCGTACAGGAAAGACTGAATGAAGTCACATCCTGGTCCCAAAATGCCAAGTGCAGAGTCTTGACAAAAGAATGCAATATTACAATAGATAGAATAGAATGGGCTTAAAATAGCAAGTAGGAGGGAGGGCGACACAAGCTGCTCACTTTGACTATATGTAGAATTAGTGGAGACTGGTGTCTTGTTTTCAGTCTAATGTAATTTCAGTTTATCAAAAAGCCAAATTAGTCTCCCCTCCTATGACACCGACGGTAACAATGTTCATCGTGATAATCTTGCTGTATTTTTATTAATTTGCCGCCTTTTATTCATAGCTAGATAGCAAGCATCCACATCCTGATTCTTCCTTTTGAAATGATAACAAATCCCTTTTTATGCTGGTCTGCATTAAAGAACTAATTTATTCAGTAAACTGACCTCTATTGCTTATACATCTCTTTTTTTACCTTTTATCTTTATACCTCCTCTGTCTTCCCACCTGTCGTGGGACTCACTGAGATGTTGTAAAAACACCACATTTATCCGTTGTCCTTTTTGCTGATGAGTCTCAAGGGCCGTAGCAGATGTTGTTGTGGTTGTGCAGAAACAGTCGGACGGATTTTATTGGTGACACACGAGGAGTTATAAAACCCGTTTGGTCCGGCAAATCTGAGGCGGGTCCTCCTCGTTCCCTTCCTGCTCACTAAACAGCATCACCACACTGGACTTGTTGTGCACACTCGACGCGCTCATTAGCGCGCTTGCGTAATCCATCGGCCGCTTTGACCACAGAGACGGGCTTGTGGGGAGTTGACACAGCGGGACGATGCCAATCCAAGAGGAGGAAATCATTTGGGATAAACGATGTTATTACATTTGACCACTTTATGCCGCTGATGTAGTGACAACATAAAAGCATTGTAATGCAAAAAGGTATTAAAGAGCAACTACTAATGATCAGTCACTGAAATTTGAGTCGAGGTCATGTCTATATATACTTTGTACAATAAGTCAGTAATGTTAAAAGAATGTCAGTCAGGTCCGTATATATCGCACCATAAGCCCGTAACACTTTTATCATGATCGGCGTTGATCCTGACGGACCAGCACCCGTTTTTTCTGCTGTTCAGTTCATACGTCGGCGTGATTATTATGCCTTCATCTTCAGGATGTTTTTTTTCTGTGCTGTGAGTCATCCTGTATTCACATCCACCTCACCTGAACTGTTGCTTTGCCAGTGGGTGTTTCTCGAGTGTATTCTCATCACTAAATCTTTTCATCTTTCCTATATTCTACTTTGTAAAATATTCATGTCCGCGCCACGATGTGTTTGAAGGCAAACTATTTTAGGTGGATCCTTTTTTCATCATCTCAGCCAGAAAGTCAATATTTGTATTTGTCCAATACATCAGTATGTTTATACCTCTAAAAATATCCTCCTCCACTAGTTGTCTGTATATTTTAAAGCCTCCTCACGTTTGATGTTATCCACCTAGCCACCGATTGGAACTCATCTTGAACGCTAATGTAATTACAGCTCATAGGGTCAATGTTCTGAACCTCATTTATGTATAAATACGTGAATGATTTCCCTTGAAACTCATTCCTTCCCCCCTGTGTTCGGTCCACAGAGGGCACTGCTGGAGCAGAAGCAACGGAGGAAGCGCCAGGAACCTCTGATGGTGCAGCCCAACACGGAGGCCCGGCCCCGGCGCTCCAGGATGCGGCGCGGTGAGGAGCAGGCCCCTCTGGTGGAGTCCCAAGCCAGTATCACCAACGATGTCATCATGGACGGTGAGGGAATGAAAGCTGGAATCGATGAGTCACGTTCTGTTTAAATCAACAGAATGAGCATTGCTCAAGAGAAGCAATGTCAGGTAAACTGCATTAACGTCTCACCTTGCTGCAGGTATCGACGGCCCAGCAGCCTTCTTGCGGTCAGAAGCCCCCGATGTGGGAATAAAAATCCTGTCAGTGAGCCGCTCCCAGTCCCAGTCCCAGTCCCTGTTCCAGTCCCAGCCTCAGTCCCCTGTTGCCGAGGAACCTGAGCGAGACGGAGACACTGAGACGCTGCTCGAACCCAAGACAGATATCCAGGAATTACTGCAGAGACAAGGTGAATTAAAGCAGAGGACATATTGGGCGGGAAAACATAGGGCTCCATGACAAAGTACGTGATGGGAAATTACAGTTAAGCCTTGAACATCATTTTCAATTTACTTTACAAAGGATTAGCGAGGCACAAATTTTCCATTTAATTATTTTAAATCCATTGATTTGACTTTTATCCCGACCACAGGGAAGATGCGTCTCCAGTCAAATGTCATTTTGTGTGCCTGCTTTATTATTCTGAGTCACTTACAGATAAGCGGCTGTCGTCGAGGCTTCTTGACATCCCCTTGACCTGAAAGCCCTCGGCTGCTGCACTGTGAAATGAGTCATTTAATAATAGGCCGGGGCATTGTTCAACCTGCAGCGCTCATCTAAGGCTTCAACATCGATACGGACACACACACATTAACCCGCCAGTTGGTGGGGATTTCTAACGTTTATGGAGGATGCATTAACATCTGGCCAGAGAGGGACATGTACAAAAACAAGTCCCTTCATCCTTGTTTAAAACCATAAAGTTAAGGTGTTCGGAGGAGCATGAGCTGCTATTTTTATTTCCTTCTGGGCTTTTGGGAACCCGTGATACTATGGTGGCACATGTCATTGTCCTTCTCAATAGAGCCAGGTCTCACTACCAATGCCAACCCAGTTTATCATAGCAAGACCTCAGAAATATTGAATTTAATTTTCGGTCCTGTTATTCATTTTACATATTGTTAACATTGCAAAGCGGTGGGGACAATAGTTCCCCCGCTTGGTCACACCAAGTGGACCGCTGCCATCCTCTGACGGCGCGTTAAAAAAGGGGCCGTAGCTGCAGCCAAGAGGAGCATACCGAGCCGCCTCCTCACGAGCACGCAGCTGCAGGCCGCGCATCTCTTCACATTAATCTCCCCTTTGCAGAACCGGACTTAAAAAAAGATGCATTGTTTGTGACAGGTATTGAGGCAATGCTCCAAATCTGACCTTTTGGCCGGATGAGCGCTGAGCAGAGCCCTCTGAAGCCCAAGCAGTGTCCGGGCGGTCATTTTGTTCGGGGTTCCTGTCACATTTTATGCACCGTCCTGCACATCTATGGAAATAGCACAACAACAGCTGCAAGGGGAAGTTTTAGAAAAGGTCACTTGTGCAGTATTTCACTGTTATTACATGCAATAAATATATAGAGATTACATTTTTTGTAATATATATATATATATATATGTATGTGTATAACATCTTTCTAAGTGCCCAAATGTGTAACCAACACCCAGAAGAAATGTGCCGTTGATGGCTCAGATTTGCAATGTTTTATTAGTTAAGATATTAAAATGGTCAAAGAAATACCCTGCTTAATATTTCTGAGATATATATTTCCATTGAACGATTTACTACTTGTGCTTTAACCATTACAGCAGTATTGCATCATATCTAAATGGGTTTTCATACATCAAAGACTGTAGATGAAACAAAAAAACAAAACTAAGGAAACCAAGCCCTTCCAAGTCTTACACGGAGCTTCTGGCATTCATTTTCTTCTTCCATCATGTACTTTTGTGGAATAATAATAACTGCCCTCACATAGCAACAAAGGCCCCTCCCACCACTGACCCCCTTCTTTCCCTCCAGGTTTGTCCGGCAGTTTGAACTTCGATGAAGACAGCGACCCTGAGGACGACGCGGAGGAAGATCGATCGCGTTCTCTGTCCCCACACGCGGGCAACACCAGACCCGCCTCTGCCGCCAGCGGCAAGGACGTCCCAGTGAGTAGCGCCTCCAACGCACCCCGCCAACCAGCACCCAACAAAGTATAATCCCCAACACTAACGGTCACGTTCATTTGACTGAAGCCCGTGCAATGTGTTGTACCCAGGAGCCGGCGTCGCCCGGGTCCCCCGCGGCCGACGGCTCGCCGATAGATGTGGCCGATCCAGAGGAGTTCGTCTTGCTCGCGGCTCCGCGCGGCGTCACCGTCAAGTGTCGAATCACTCGGGACAAGAAGGGGATGGACCGTGGCCTCTACCCCACCTACTTCATGCACATGGAGAGGGAGGATGGCAAGAGAGTGAGCGTGCTAGACATGACTTGTTAAAGCGTTAGCAGAGCATGAGGTGTAGAGACGCAAACACCCGTTTCTCTTTTCCCAGGTCTTTTTGCTGGCAGGAAGGAAGAGAAAGAAGAGTAAGACGTCCAACTACCTGATATCAGTGGATGCCACTGACCTGACGCGAGAGGGAGAGAGCTTCATAGGAAAACTGAGGTACAAATGAACTGATTGCAGTTGTAGAAGCACCATAGAAGGTGCAACTGAAATCTACCCAAAAAGATTTCTGAAAACCATGTCGGATTCCATATTTTTAGACCCAAGTCACATGTCTGTTACAAACAGCTGAAATGAACTACCACTTTTTGGTCGTTAAACTGTGTATAAAATTAGACCCGCAGTGTTTAGTTGATTTTAAGATGAGCCGGTATTGGTTGTGCTTTCGTCCCAGGTCCAACCTCATGGGCACCAAATTCACAGTGTACGACAACGGCACCAACCCCGGCAAAAACCCCGGGACGCTGCTGGAGGAGAGCAACACGCGGCAGGAAGTGGCCGCCGTCTGCTACGTGAGTAGAAAAAAAGATTTCCCGCGGCGGAACATGGATGTCCCACTGAGACGCTCTCTGTACCACAGGAGACCAACGTGCTGGGCTTCAAAGGGCCGCGCAAGATGACCGTGATCATCCCCGGCATGAACCCGAACTTCGAGAGGGTCGCCGTGAGGCCTCAAAACGTGAGTGTGCCGCTGCGTCTAAAGGGGGGACGCACGCTTCCCGACCGGTGCATGAACGTGACTTGTGTTACAGGAGCAGGAGAGCCTCCTGAGCCGGTGGCAGAATCACGCGCTGGACAACCTGATCGAGTTGCACAACAAGGCCCCCGTGTGGAACGAGGACACCCAGTCGTACGTGCTGAACTTCCACGGCCGCGTCACCCAGGCGTCCGTCAAAAACTTCCAAATAGTCCACGACAACGACCGTGAGTTCACCGCACCGCTCACCGAATAATCCGCACCCCCCCGCGCACTTTCAGGCTGTGACGGTTTGTTTCCCCCCTAGCCGACTACATCGTCATGCAGTTCGGGAGGGTGGCCGAAGACGTCTTCACCCTGGACTACAACTACCCCATGTGCGCCCTGCAGGCCTTCGCCATCGGCCTGTCCAGCTTCGACAGCAAGCTGGCCTGCGAATGAAAGGACGGTTCTCGGCGCCGCCTTTTCGAACGTGCTCCCTCCCCGGAGCCCGGGGGGCCGTCACAACACCCGCGGCTGGAGAAAAGAGCCAGGAGGCTCCGGATAGCATTTTTAGCGAGGCTGACGACACTACACTATGTCCACATCTGTCCAAAATAAAAAAGCCCTCTGGTGTCTTCGCGGGAGGCGGACACTGGTGTGGGACATCTGGTGCAAAAAAAGCAGGCGATTACAGATGTGTGACTCGGGCGATGTTTGCAGGGGGTGATGTGTGTATTAACCATGTTTTTACTGTCGCCTTTTTAGTTTGATTTCAGTCTGAGATTTGGTTCTGAGGACGACAACAATTTTTAATTCCATAAAAAACAATCGCCTTTCCTCTGGCGACACGCTCAGGCCAAACTTATTTGGTAACAAGGGACTCTGTTTTTTTATCGAGCCGTCATCTGGTGAGTGAGTTGCATCATGGTCACGATTTCACTCTCGTTCACATCTTTGAATGTGATAAAGCAGTTTAATCTTTTATCTATTTTAAACTAATTTCTATCATCATTTCTGTCAACCCTTTCAAGTATGTTCAAGTGTGAAAAGTTCTTTATTCAGAACTCGCCTGTGTTATGGTGTTTGTGGGTTTTTTGTGAATGTATGTCATTTTTATCAGTGACTTAATGGATAATTATGAGAGAAAAAATGCGGAATTGCACATTTGAAAGAATATAGGATATAGGTATATAAAACACAAGTCAATGCCTTATTTGAACTTTTCAAGCTGTCTTTAAAATGCATAAATCACTAAATGTAACGTCATGGCATTTTAAAATAATGGATAAGAGCTTATAACTTATCTGCTGTTCCTACACTTGATGTTCAGGATATCATTGACATTTTATTGCGCTGAGGTCGTTTTATAGCCCACCTGCCTGTCTCCAGGCTTCGATAATAGGCGGCGTCTCTTCTTTTGAATTAAAAAGGGAATATTAAGGGAAATCAGTAAAAGAAAGCGTCCTTCACGGATCTATGTCACATTTAAATATATTGGTAATTCAGTGCACTGAATGTCTGTGAGGGACACGTGAAAACATCTGGATCCTCTAAAGACAAAATGATCTGGGTTTTTCAGGGGTCAAGATGCATGTTATTTGATTTGTTTTTTTCTGCTCACCGATAAAATGAATTCAAGACTACAGATACCTAGTTATGTCTTAAGGAAATTAATGTTACATATTTGTTTCAGTAGAACTGTGCCAGCAATTTATGTGTGAATTGGAGTTTTGACAAAAAGAGAAAGAAAAACAATATTTATAGAAGGCTTTTTGGAATATATATGCTTTTACTACAAGAGACTTTTTGTGAAACACATTCCAGTCTGACATGTTGATATAGTTTTATTTGAACGGATGAAAGTATAACGAGGGGAGGATCAAACCGGTTTATCGCGTTAAAATACGGGGAGACGAGTGCAACAGTCTGTTTTCATAAACATGGCGGATTCAAAAAACAAAAGTACTTATTTCCATCAATGTAAAACCTTTAAATAACCAAAATAAAACAAAACATTTCCTGAAAGACATTTGAACAGCCTCCTAAACGTGTCTTCATTGTTGTCCGGTAGAACGTCTCCACAGTGCCGCTTTTATCTGAACATTTTGTGCACGTGATAAAACCTCACGGGTCCCCTTTTCGACGCCACGCCAGACGACCAACGGCGCCGCCGGCCGCTTCACCTGATGTCCACGACCCGGGGCAGCACTTTGTACGTGACGAGAAAGTACGGGTAGCACTGACAGCTGTCGAAGACCACAAAGATGCCCGGCCGGTGCACGTCGTCCACGCAGGCGTCGTAGAGGAGGAACCGGCTCGCCCTGCGGTCGAGCGGCGGCGGCCGGCGGTACGCCTCGCTCCCGAGGCTCACCTTCCCCACCAGCACTTTGGCCAGGAACACGCGGCGGGTCGCGTCCCGCCCCCACCGGACGGAGTACTGGTGGGCGTAGGAGGCGGCGCGGGCGAAGTAGCAGCCGGAACCGTAGGACGCCCCGTTGAACCCGGCCATGCGGGGGTCGAAGTTGTTGTGGCCTCCGAGGCGTCTCTGGTCGTCCCGTGGAAGAGGTGGCGCTCCAGAGGCTCCTCGGACTCGCCGTGCTGCTTCTGCATGTGCGCTTTGTGCCTGCAATGACAACGCAAGGTGTCTTCTGTACATTTTAACAGTATTTTGGCCTAAAAGCGTAATCAATGCAAACGTGTCGGACACAAACAGCAGCTGGACCTTTGGTACTTGTCCCAGTGGAGGAGGTTCTGGACCTGCTGGATGCTGACGATGTCCACCACGGTCTCAGGGAGGCTCTCGTGGAAGAGCTTCAGGACGCTGCGGTGGGCCCGTGTGCCGGCCGGGAGGTCCACCAAGCTGTAGTCCCGCCCCGACTCCAGACACCACACGGGAGGATACCAGGAGGTGAACTCCTGCAGAGGGTCCACGCTGAAGTTCTCCCCAGGAGGACCTCCGACAGGCTCAGTCGGGATCAAGGTCCTGGGTGAAGAGGAAGAGACGATATCGTTGGGATGAAGCCCATTAACATCATGTTCTTATTAAGAAAAACAAAAAACACCAAACGCTCGTCTTTCATTTTATATGTTATACGTCGCGCCGGTCGTGGGACTCGAACCGTCCCCGGGGACGGAGAGACGGTTACCGACCGCAGGTAAGGCCGCATGGAATCGGGGGAGCAGTAGGAGGGTCTACAGCGAACATCTCTGCTGAACCCCGTGGTGACGTTGGTCTGCCTCATGGCGTCGACGTGGAACACGTACTCCTGGCGGCCGATATGGAAGACGCACTCGCTGACGTCCTCCTCCGTGATCTTCTGCAGCAGAAAAGCGGACACATCCTGCGGGGAGAGGATGGACGGTTAGAGACAGAGGGCAGCGGCTGCCGCCGTGACGAAGACGAAGAGTATGAAACAGTCACCTGGTTGTACTCCTCCCAGTCCTTGCTGTTCCACCAGTAGACTTTCCATTTGCTGGTGAAGTACGGGTTCTCGACCACGCTGTCGGAGCTGGCGAGTCGTCTGACGCCGCTGTAATAAGCCGTGCCTTTAACCTCCATGAAGTCAAAGGTCAGAGTGCAGCGGCAAATGCTAAATGGAGAGTGACGCAAAGGAAAAAAAATGTCAGTGATGAAATCATCTCCTTGGCAGGAACGGATCTCCGTCTCCGCGGGCCTTCGCTTACCTGTCGTGGAGGCAGACGGACGATTGCCCGACGTTGCAGTAGTGCCTCTCCAGCAGGACCTGAGAGCGATGGCCGACGTCGACCCACCGGCGCTCCCTCCGAAGCCACAGCTGCCAGTGGAACGGGTAAGGCGTGTGGTGCTCCGTACACTGGCTGCCCGCGCGGCACGAACCCCTGAGGAAGCGGACGCACACCCGGATGTCGGAGGAGCGCTTGGTGTGGAACTGGGGGGGGAAGCGGCCGCTGGAACAGGGCCCGCAGCCGCCCCGCCCGGGTCTGGACGCCGGGCGGGGCGGCGGGCTGTGGCTGGGTGGCGACGAGAGGCGGGGAGACGGCGGAGGCGGCTGGTGTCGGGTTCGCAGGTTCTCCCTGGTTCTCCCGGGCCAGAGTCGTACTCTCGCCTCGCTGGGAGGTCACGGGGGTCAAACGGACGCAGACGCTGTAAGGGTTGACGGCCCAGGCGACGTCGACCTGCCGGGACGTCATGGCCTCCCACACCGGGACGCTGGTGTTGGTGTCAGCGGGGATTTCCAGGAGGAGGCGGCGGGACGGAGTCAGGAAATCGACTGTGGGAGATTCGTCCGGGGGCGAAACGGCACCTCGGCCCCTCGTCTCGCTGTGTGGCGCTTTTGCCATGTTGGAGCTCTTGTAAACAAACAACAAAACACATTGGACTGTTCATTTTGAGAAAATCAGCACGAGGGACCAAGGGTGAAATTAAGTGAGTTTAGCTCAATACAAAGTTAGTGTTACATAAAATAGAGTTAAATCAAAAGAAAATTGGAGCATTGGTCGGAGCCTCGCACGTGCACGTGCGCGTGCACCAGCAGAGTAGCCTTGAATCACGCGCATCCATATTTGCTCATAACTCCTTAAACGTCTCACGCTCCGTTAGCATCGCAGCTATGAGCCCGTTAAAAAGCGGAACCTTACCGGGTCCACGTGACAACACGCCGGCTTCAAAAAGGGGGATTAACTGCAGTCAGAGTTTAAGGAAAGGAGTTGACTTGTTTGGAGGAATCAATTAAAAAAACGGACGACCCGCCGCGAGGGTTCTGCCGGTGCGCACGTGGAGGAGGATCATAAAAATACGGTGCGTCGCCTTACTGAAAATACTTTTCAGTAAGTAGTATTTCACACATAATACATATAAACGAACTAAACTACTTCATACGTACTGTTAAAAGGTTAAAAATCTGTATATGATACGGTTTTATTTTAGTTATTATTTAATTAGTTATATTAGTCATTATCCTGGTCACTCAAAATAATTCACTAAACTTCATATTGTTGTGATATCTGTTGAAAACAATATTATAGCTTTCAAGTAGAATTCAAACTCGGTTTTTGCAGTTCGTTGTATTTGTTTTCCACTCAAAATACCATTTGAGGTGTGTAACTGTGTATAAAATCATTTGAGGTGCCGTTTTATTTACTCATTATCATCTGGTATTTTAGAAATATTTATATATAATTCTTAATGGTTATCGTCAATATTAGCATATCACAACACAACTACTACCAATCACACTTTTTTTAGTTTCCATAGGTTATTTCCTCAATGAGCCCGTTTGTATTTGTGTTGCCATGTTTGTTGACAGGAAGTCGTCTTCAACCAATCAGGTCACAACATTATTTGTACTTTATTCATTACAGGCTGGACGCAGCCTACAGAATGGATTGAAAGGTTGCACAAATAATAAGATCAGCAAATACTTTATTTGTAGATTCGAATTCTCATAGTATTGCACATAACGTTTAAAGTGCTGAGACTAAATCATATACCGACCAATTTTTCACCATGTATGTTTTAAAATGAAGGTCTAAGGCATTTCATTGGACCAGGAAGAAAGTGCTGAAAATCATGCAGAAATCACCAAAACAAAAGTCACTCCTCCTTTTGTGCTGAGGGGGGGGAAGTAAAAGTTGAGACGCGGAAATCCACTTTCAGAAATATTCAACAGCCTTCACAGAAACCTCCAGCGGCTCCAGCGTCAGAGGACACTGCTGGCAGCCCACCCAGAAGTACGGGAAGACCCTCTCGGTGACGGCGTGCTTGAAGGTGTAGATGTGCGTGTTGTCGTGCGGGTCGTAGAAAGAAACCCTCCCCTTCTCGCAGTCCACCTGCACCCTGATCCTCTGCGGGTTCCTCTTGGGGTTGAGCCTCGTCAAAGGGGAGGTGCCCGCAAAGTACATCTTGTGGTAAAAGTACACGCCCAGGTAGCCGTTCTTCAGCACCGAAGACACTTTCTCTTTCCTCCGGACGGACTCTTTGGCCACGCCGACGACCCACGCCGTGTTCTGACCCACGTTGACCACCCAGGCGTGCTTGCCCGAGGTGAAGCTCTCGCGGCCCAGCACGCCCGTGTCCGGGTCGAACCTCTCCGGGTTGTCCGGCAGCTTCCGCTTCTCGTCGCTGTCGCAGACGCTGGCGAGGTCCTCCGACAGGACGAGCCACGGGGCGGCGGTGTTCGGGTCCAGGGTCACCGGGTCTGAAAAAAAACAAAAAACACACGGCAGATTGTCAGCGGCCTCGCGTTAACGCGCTCTTGGCTGCGCCGCCATCTTTTCAGCGTGTGCTCACTGAATTTGACGGTCTGCAGCATCTTCTCCCACACGTGGAAGTTCAGAGAGCCCAGATAGCTCGCCACGTCGATGAGCGCTCCCGCGGGCATGACTGGATCCTCCATCGGGCTGCTGGCTCTGCAGGGAGCAGAATTAAGCGTTATAGGGAATCTTGCTACGAAAGCAGAGAAAAGATGTAGTCTATGTTTTCACCTTGCCAATGACGTCTTGCATTTCTGAAAGAAAGAGGCAAAGTTTTTAAGACGTGGTGTTCCATGCGAGTGTGTCCGTGCACCAACTCACCTGTTAAACATTTACAAACTTACATGAAGGACAGAGATGCCCTGCAGAGCAATCTCCTCCTCTAAAACTCTGATGGATTCAGACACGGACGCTATATCCCCCGCCATCTCTTCGATCTTCTGCCTCAGCGCCCGACTCTTCTGCTCCTCCTCCCTCTTCAGCTCCTCCATCCTGGCTTCCTCCTCGGTATCGAGGAAGCTGTGAAGCTTCTCGAACTCCTCGCGGGTGCGTCTCTCCACAAAGCGAGCCTGGACCTGTGGGTGAAGACCTGCGTCAGCGCGGCTTCGGGAAAAAAAAAAAAGGGCGGCGCTCACACTTAACAAGTGCACGAGAGAAGAACCACGGCACGTCACCTGAATGCATTCCACAGTATCCTCGTAGTTTTTCTTCATTTTGTCAAAAGCACCCCTCTTCTCCATCATTGAGTTGAGGGCAGACTTCATCTTCGCCTGGGAAGGTAAATAAGAGAAAATTCACTTGAAGGCCCAGAGGTTTTCTTTTTTTTCTTCCTGCATCCAGTATTTTTGCGGGCGTTTACCTTCACCAGAACGACGGCCTCGCCGACGGGGCAGCAGTCGTGCTGCTTGTGCTTCCTGGAGGTGTGGCACACCACGCAGATGGGCTCCTCGTCGGGGACGCAGTAAAGCTTGAGCCGCTCGCCGTGCAGAGGGCACATCTCCCCCGGCTCACAGTGCAGCTCTCCCCCGGTTTCCTCCGGACCCTCGCCCTCCTGGATGAAGGCCTCGCACAGGTTCCTCAGGGTGAGGCTGGGCACGGGGTCGTCCACGCTCTGGCTCCTGCACAGGGGGCAGTCGCGTCTCTGTGGCCCCTGGGTCCAGTACCGCTGCAGACAGGGGGCGCAGAAGCTGTGGCTGCACTTGAGGACCACGGGGTCCCTGAAGATCTCGCAGCATATGGAGCAGGAGAGGTCAAACTCCGGGAGCGCGAGCCTGCCTGCCATACCGACGCCCCTGTTTTGCTGTGAAAATTGAAGTAGGGAAAAGGTGAAGGCACAGATTAAAATACCCACAACCCTTCGTGGTCTATTTACTTGAAATTACCCTTGTCGAAATGCTAAGGAAAGGAGCTCCAATACTTCTTTATAGCTTTTTTAGCAAAGGAACTGGACCATCCTTTACGAAAGGAAAGGAGATAAAAGCCGTTCCACAGTTCCTTAAGTAGTATATAAATAGGGATGTAACGTTGTCGTTCGCCCGTTCACGCTAAATAACGACTGAGAAACGCCGATGACGTAAGTTTCCGTTAGCATAACTTATTTATGTTGCAGCCTTGTAAATAAACTAAAACTTTGAACCTAGTTGTCTACGTGACTCAGCACCGTGACAACAAATGGACGAAAGCACCCAAGACGCGCTTCTTTGTAGTTCATCCTCGGAGAACTTGTAGTTCCGCCGCTGCTGACTGACGTCACTAACATGCGTCCTTCGCCGCATCATAACTACGTAGCTTAGTGAAAGTGGATTCGCATTCCCTAAACACCGCGGCTCTCCTTCCCTAAATCCTCACGACTTCTCCTAACCATCTTTCCTTGCCCCTGTGACGTTTTCGACAGAGGTCGAGGAATAGTGGTTAGGAATACACGCTACGAGGTCATTCATTTTGACAATTTGAACCCAGCCATACCTCAGAGTCCTGTGACTTATCGGACGCAAGCACTTCCTGCTTCCTGTTGTGATGAAGAGTCACCGAAAAGGGGCGGGGTCTCATAGGCAGTGGGCGTTTTTAACCCTTTAATTCACAGCTAAGTTAGTTACAGTTCATATCAGCGGGTCGCTGTCAGGTGGCCAGGAGGCACACCGCATGCTTAATCTGAGAAGATGCTTTGGTTGGAATGCTTGCAATTCTCATTACGAGGGGGATATAAGTAGAGACTGATTAACAGTTTAAGTAAGATGCACAATCTTTAAACTGAATGACAACTAAAAAGCCTTTATTCTCTGCTTAAATGCACTTTGTTGAAACTATAATTAGTCTTAAACGCATATGAAATAGTTAGAGCCAACATGAAAACGTGTAAATGATGAAACATTCAATGATCATGTGGAACTTGAACTTGTTATTGAGTCACGTAAACAGCTCATTGTTTGTTGCCATCTAGTGCAACCAACCAGCTGCTGACATTTTGCAGTCAAATGGGCAGTGTGATCATTTAGCAAAGGTTTTGGCCTGTTATGAGGATTCACTTCACAGCTAGTGATCAAGGTGGTGTTTTCATTTAACAGCAAACACAGCAGTTTGTCCTAAACTATTTTCCAACCCATGCTGGGGTTTTGATGTCATCAAAGTGTTTTTCTATGGATTCATAGTCTGGTGTAAAGGTAAAAGTTGTGAAGTCACACTAAGACTTTTCCTCTGTCCTATTTTATCACACAGTATGCTCTAACTGTCGAGAAAGACTTTCCTGCACGTCTTGCTGTTTTTCTGCTCCAAAGAACTACAGATAGAATCTGCTCACTGTAGGTTCTTGCCTCTTGATAAATGTTTTGTTTACATCGGCGTGCAGACTCTATCCATCTTCATTTTTCATTCTGTCCGCCAGTTGTACCATCTACAGCCTCCGCGTAGCTTTTGTGATTTACTTGATGAACTGCGTGTAACTTTTCTTGAATGTGTGGAACTCTCTGGTGTCTGATCGGTGCCATGGACTCAACACTAAAATGATAAGGAAAATGTTGGAAAAAATCCACAGATTTGTGCTGTGCTCTTCATAGCATAGAGAGTAAGAACGTGTGCCATTTATTTTATTGTGTGAGAGCCCACGCAAACTCCGTCACCGCAGTTTTGTGCCTTTTAATATTCCCTTCCCTGGCTGTGCTGTTCATTTTATCATTGAACACCATGTTAGTTGGCTGCTGCAGAAGAGGATTTCAAAACGACAGACTGCTGGTAGTCAGTACTCGGCCGTCCCGTCTCCTTCAAGGACAAACTCCGCTTTAAGTCATCCTTCAAAAACTTTTAATTGCCCTGCGTTTTCCTCCGGTAGCGTCACAATGGCTGCCGTGGTTTTGACGCGGGAGTAGCAACGTGCACAGATGGTCCGTTTGTCATTTGTAAAGGAGGTTTGGAGTTTCCAGCAGATGCTGGAATGAGTCAGAGTCCTTTTAATGGCCTGCTGAGCGCCGCTCCGGTGGGGGCGATGAAGCATTTACTTTGTTGATGCGCTGTGTAAAGGACATGGTGAAGGCGCTGTGATGTCTTTGCAAGCCTGTCACTTTTTCGTGCAGCAACTCATCAGTGCATTTTATGCCCAAGGAGTGGAACTTTTCCGCATATTGTGTATCCTTAAATGAGATTACTTGTCGTTGTGAGCCACATGTCATGTGCTTAATTGTTTCTTAGCATGCAGAACACTGACTGCGTTACGGAACTTTACAACTCTTTACAATACTTTGTAGACAATACAACTATTATCCACCACTAGATGTCACAATGCACCCACGCATAGAGAATTCTACTAGAGCAGAAAAAAGAAAAAGAATGTACCGAATTTATGTGTCCTGATCACCTCACATCAAAATGACTTCAAGTAAACAGACGAATACCAGGAGATAAAATCTAATCTGTGTTATCCATGACAGACCCTTTTTAAAGAAGAAACAAAAAACAACCGTTGCAAACTCAGAATGAAGCAGTTACCTGCTCACGTTTACCTGGACGTGGCCTGTAAATTGGTTGTCAGCCCGTGTGACCGAGGCTAATGGTGATTCATTATTGCTCACACCCTGCTGGTGTCCTCAGGGCGTCGGGGGGGCTGGAAGCGGGACGGGGGGGGGGGGAGGCCCGTGTCAATCTCACAGCCTCTAATGAGGACAGGCAGCTCCTTTCCTTTCAGGTTGAGCAAAGTGTCGAAAAAAAATGAAAATAAAAATGACTACAATCAAGCCAGTGAATTATGGGAGACCTGACGAGTAGAGAGAAATAAAGAAATATTTTGATGTAAAGATAGATTGTCCCCTGCACTGTGCTTACACAACACCTGTTCTGTTTTATCTTGGTAACGTTCTAATTATGCTATATATGAGTTGTGACTGATGCCTCGTTTAATAGTCAATGCTGTGTTGGTGTATAAAGATAAATTAACGCATTTCATTTTTCAGCCACTTTGGGGCAGCAGAAGAAAGCCGTAAATAAAAAATAAAAAAACCCGCGTCTTAAATAACCTCCAAAATGATGCGTTCAGTTTCAAGGCTAAGCTCATTTCTTCATCTCTGTATTGAAATGAATTTGAGCACTATTTGTACAGAGATTAGTTTTAAGTGTGACCACGTACCATCTTCTGTGATTCCAATTTGTAAAGTTTGTCCTTCCACCCTTTTACATTCCCCTGAATACTGAAATGTGTGCAGTAAGCAGCCGCTGAGTCACAGCGGCGCGTGGAGACGACACCATAGGACTAATCTCACAACTTCTACCCGAGACAGAGACAAGGACACCAGAACTGAATTATATTTTGCCATGTGAACATTTGATCCCTCTCAGATTGAAATACTTGCGTCACGTTGACAAATCATTTTCACGCTCTCCTCCATGTGACTCATGAGCAGCGAGCTTCATCGTCGTCAAATGGAAAATGCATCCATTTCATCACATGATGCTTGTCTCTCTCACACGTGAACTCGGTATGAATTGGATTAAATGCACAATTTCACCGGGGCTTGCAAGCACCAGGAGCCCTTATTCCAAGTCATATACTGATTCCTTGCCCTTGGTAATAGCTGAGGAACTTTTGACAGCCATCTCACACGGACATTGCAAGAGAAATAGAGAAAAAAAAAAGTTTAGTTCTTCTTCCCGCTAGCTATTTTTAGTGTGTGACACACATGCATGCTGCTCACACACACCCACACGGAGTGCCTACCCCGGCATTTCCACAAACACAAAATGTGCGAATTGGAGGTGAATTCCATCTTGTTGGAGAGGCTGCATGGAAGCCACGGGCTCAGAAAAGCTCCTTCAGTCTCTGGAAGGTCACCAGCTCCTCCAGAATCACAGGAAAAACACAGTTATCATTGTTTCCCCCTCTCTCTCTCCCTCTCTCTCTCTCTCTCCACCGCTCTCACTCACACACCTGCACACAGCGACCCAACTCAGTGGAGTGTAAAAAAGAAAGAAAGAAGGAGTGACATCAATTGAATAAGGCCGGGCTGACAGGGACAATACGCCACAGCACAGCGTCTCGCTCTCTCTCTCTCTTTTCTAACCCATTTCCCCTCCTGGCTTCCTCCCTTCCCCTCAAACTCGAGCTCAGCACATCAGAGTGATGACAATTTTGTTTTAGCCGGATGAATCTGCTATCTGGGATGACCCAAATCTTTATTAGCCCCCCCCTTTCCCACCGCCTCGCTATCACAAAGCGCTCTAGAGCGTCACGGAATGGTTTCTCCCGGCTGAAAACTTGCTGACAATCGCTTTCGTCTTGAATTGAGTTACATGTTCGTCTCCCCCCCCCCCCTAATCTCCCTTGGATTGTCGTGTCATACTGAGGGGGGGGGCAGAGTGGAATATTAATTGAATTGCACTCACTCCTGAAAACAAATCTCCCATTACCTCAACCCGAAATCGAAATGTAGACTTTTTAAGTGGGAGTCTGCAGCGGGGCCCGCGGGGGCCGCGCACCGGCCGCCTGTATGTGGGTCATTTGGCTCGGCCCAGGCTGGAGCCGCCTGTCACCAGCGATGTGTCAAATCAGCTGTGGCATGACGAGATAGGCCGCCGGGCCGAAGCCAGGGGATCTAAACCGGCGAAAGCCTTCATTACCGAGCATTGTGATCAGCACCTGCATCACGACCGACTTCACCCGGCGTATCAAAAATCCACTTCATGGACCGCGGCAAAAGCCTGCGAGGGGGTTCGGTTCCCCAGGAAAGAAATCGACCCCCCTCCCACTGCACCGCATCCTCTCATTTCATCTCTAAGGGAGGCTCGGGTGTCTTTAAAGCGCAGATGGATGTGCTTGCTCCCCCAGCGTGACGCCCAAAGGGCCTCCGCCACGTGACGGCGCGCGTCAAGAGCTGATCCGAGCGACAAACAGCCCGCCCTCCATGTGCTCTGCGTTTGGGGAAAATGTAAGATATGGATTGCTGGATGGGGCCGCGCAATCCCCCCCCCCCACTGACCCCTGCAAAGTCCTCTATTGCACTCTATTGGGTCGACGTTTTCAGCCTCTGACAAGCCAATCAAACGCACCCATGCTGGCCGAAATTCCTTTTGTGACCTGGGCCTTAATTAACATTGCCGCGGCTGCCCGCCGTGTCCGAATGGTCTCAGCCACTGATAACTTCCATCCATCTTTAATAATAATAATACATCTTTCTATCTTATCCGCGAGGAGGATGTGAATGTTGTAAATCCCCGTTGCCAGAAAAAAAGAGGACTGCAGCTTTTGCCTGACTCAAAGGTGTCCGGCCGCCCGTGACGACGGTAATCCCGTAATCTGGTCAGTCAGCGGCGCGAAAAGGTCCTCACAGCCGTACATATAAAACACACACACGCACAGAATATACACCGCCACTAAGTCTAAAGCTGCCACCCGCCACACCAGCAACACCCCCGCCCACGCCGCGTCTGCCATCACATCCCACCTCGCACGGCTCC